ACTCAACCTCAAGAGGGTCAAGGAGCAAGGAAGAACTCTTCCTCGGGAGCGCTTCATGCCCCCCTGGATCCGACACTCACGCCAAGTCACTCGAGAAGAAGCTCAAATTCGCGATGCCTACCATCGCGGTCGTCTCACGGTCAACGTTCGAGGAGCAAGAAACATTTAGGCACGACCTCATCAACACGCATCTATTTGTCTGTGTTTGAAATTCAAGATCCGATGTCCTCACAGCCAAAGAGAGTGTGAAATGTGCAAGAGTCGAAGAGAAAGCATGTTTTGATTTTGGTTCGTCAACAGACATGAAGTCGAGCCCACACCGCACGCAGCTGAGCAGCAGCAGACGCTTGAAAGGGCTGAAATCATTCGCTACATCAAAGAAGGTGTGCAAAAAGCGAGGTGGGCTTAAGCAGCAACCTGGGGGCAGGCAGCCGAGATGTGGCCCTCCTCACCGCATCGGTAGCAGCTCTTGGTCTGAGGCTTGGGGCACTCGCGGCTGATGTGGCCAGACTCGTTGCAGTTGTAGCATCGCTGGCCACCGGCACCGGCGCCGGCGGGGGAAGTGCACTCGCGGGAAAGGTGTCCGACACCACCGCAGTTGTAGCAGCTGCGGCCGCCGGAGCGGGCACCGTTGAAGCCGCCACGGGTGGCACCGCCAGCAGTGGGGCAGGCACGGGCGATGTGGCCGTGCTCACCGCACTTGTAGCACTCGCCACCAGGGCCGCCAGCAGCGGGAGCGGGGTTGGTGGGGCAGTCACGGCTCTGTAAAGTAGAAGACATTGGAGAGACGGAAGGGCGTGTCAGAGAAACAGGCGCGGTCGTATCGAGTTGCGATGGGGATAACACGTACGATGTGACCAGTCTCGCTGCACTTGTAGCAAGTCTTGGGCTGAGCCTCCATGCCGCACTGGGAAGAGATGTGTCCCTGCTGGCCACAGTTGTAGCACGAGGGGTTGCCGGCGGTGGGGCAGGCAGCGGCGTTGTGGCCGGCTGTTGTGATTCAAATCAATGTATCGCAGAGGCATCGTCCAGTATCCGCGAGTGGTCAGGCATGGGCGAGCATGACGTTTGAGCGGCGCAGGCAGCGGACCAGGTATGGGTAAGAAAATTGATTCAAGGAATCGGGGTATCAAAGTGAAGGGTATATGACAAAGACGTCATCTTCTCCTCGTCAGCTCTCTCTCCATTCTCGTCGTCATCATCTCTAGCGCACCTCGTTCTTGAGGAAAGGAGTTTCGTATGGTCGCAATGGACAGGCAAGTTCCGCCCAGCCTTGGCTGCCGAGCCGTCTGCCGAAGCTAGGCTGGCGCAGGCCAATGTCAGAGAAAACAGCCTTGAGAATTGCGGATACGTCTACTTGCGGCTGCAGAGGTAGAGCAACCGATAACTGGGACGTAGCCAGCTGTGCTAGCCGAAGCGGAATGGAGCCATTGGAACGAGATGAGCGATATGTCGAGTTTGTGGATACTAACGCTGGCCGCAGCTGTTGACAGACACGATATGAGGAGAAGAAGGATAGAAGTCAGCGACGACTCGGGACACGGCATGAGATGCAGAACTTTGACCACCGAGCGAGGCTGAATCATCGACGACTTACTTGTAGCAGGTACGGTTGAAGGACATTTTGAAAGATGTTATAAAGAAGATGGTTGGGGAAGAAAAGGAAGCAGCAAGATGAAGACGACGCTATGCAAGTAGGGTCTGCCCGAATGCGCTCGTTTCTTCCCTCTGTTCTGAACTGAGCGCGAGCCTGTTTTGCTCGAGATGAACCCTTCACTCAGCGCAGACGGCTAGAGTGTGGCGGGCGCAGACGCGGGTCAAAGTTGCGGTCGCTGTCTGAAGCTGCAATTCCTGCTTGTGATGTCGTGTGTGTCCATTTCCTCAACCCGCAGACAATTTTCTTCCAATTTTGGACACTGCAGAGTGTCGCGTGTGGCCTTTGAGATCAACCTGTCATGCTGACTCAGCACACCTTGCTTTGTATTTGTTGCGCTTGGAGTCATGCGAAAGCCGCACGAGTCAGACAAAGTGACACTCGGCACGCGAGTCTAAAAAATGGAAGAGCCAGGCCAAGCCAGAAAGGCTCTCACTGAAAATTGCACAATCGACCTTGCGTACTCTTCTTTCTCACCCTCACCGTTCTCCTCTGACACCCGCACTCTACCAAGATGGAGTCCATCTCTTCAGCGCTCTCTGCGCTCTCCATTCAGACCGAAAAGATGGTCAAGCACGCTGCCGCTAACAGCCCAGAAAGCTGGAGGTCCGCCGTTGCCGACGTCGCTACTTCTCTGGGCTTCCCTACCTCCAACTACACCAAAACCGTCGTCTTCAAGCCAAAGACCGCCAAGACTGCCACTCCCGTCCCTGTCGTGCTCATTGCAAAGGACGACTCCGACTACAACACTAACTCCGTAGCTAAGCATCTCGGTCACAAGGAGATGCGCCTCGCTGCTCCCGAGCTGCTCAAGGAGTTCCTCAACGCTTCCAAGGACGACGTTTCTGCGCTCAGCATCACAAAGGAAAATGCATCTCAATTGGTTGCCGTCCTTGACGCCAGCCTCGCTACCAGCACCGATCACTTTGCTGTCCACGCCGCCAGCTCCGAGCAGACGCTCTTCATGACCGGAGCAGAGATCGCAAAGTACCTCCAGAGCACCGGTGTCAAGCTCGAGGTCATCGACTTTGCCAAACTCAAAGCAGAGGCTGCCACCCCCGTCGCCAAGGCCTCCGCCCCTCCTTCCAGCTCTGCTTCCGCTCCTGGCTCTACACAAGGCCCCATCCCCGCCTCCAGCAAAGCAAGCGCCGCTGAGGCCGCCCAGATCCTCGATGCGGAGCAGATGGGCATCACCGTGCGCAAGGAAGGTGATTTCCCTGAATGGTACACTCAGGTGCTCCGTAAAGGTGACATGCTCGACTACTACGACGTCTCCGGATGCTACATCCTCAAGCCATGGTCTTACTTCGTCTGGGAATCCATCCAGGCCTGGTTCGATGCCGAGATCAAGAAGATCGGCGTCGAGAATTGCTACTTCCCCATGTTCGTCTCCCAGCAAGTGCTCGAGAAAGAAAAGGACCACATCGAAGGTTTCGCCCCCGAAGTTGCTTGGGTCACCAAAGCTGGCAGCAGCGATCTTGAGCGGCCTGTCGCCATCCGACCCACCTCGGAGACCGTCATGTACCCATACTACGCCAACTGGATCCAGTCACACCGCGACCTCCCCCTCAAGCTCAACCAGTGGAACAGTGTCGTTCGATGGGAGTTCAAGCACCCTCAGCCCTTCTTGCGAACGCGAGAGTTCCTCTGGCAGGAAGGCCACACCGCACACATCTCGCTCAAGGAGGCCGACAAGGAGGTCATGCACATCCTCGACCTCTACCGCCAGGTTTACGAAAAACTGCTCGCTGTTCCCGTCGTCCCTGGTGTAAAGTCGGAAAAGGAAAAGTTTGCCGGTGGACTTTACACCACAACCGTCGAAGGCTTCGTTCCAACCACCGGTCGTGGTATTCAGGGAGGCACGTCGCATTGCTTGGGTCGGAACTTTTCCCATATGTTCGAGATCATGGTCGAAGATCCCGACGCCCCCGAACACATTAAAGTCAAAGGTAGAGCTAAAGGAAAAGGAAAAGGTGATGGTAGACGTAAAACTATAGAAGAATACGAGGCTGAGGGCAAGCTGCTTGTCTGGCAAAACTCGTGGGGCCTCTCGACTCGTACCATCGGTGTCATGGTGATGGTGCACGGTGACGACACTGGTCTGGTGATGCCTCCTCGCGTGGCACAGATCCAAGTCGCCATTGTCCCATGCGGTATTGGTGTCAAGACCACTGCCCAAGAGAAGGACGCCATCTGGGATGCCTGTGACCAGACCGCAAAGGACCTCAAAGCTGCCGGTATCCGAGCCAAAGCCGATCTGCGAGACAACTACAGCCCCGGATACAAGTTCAATCACTGGGAGCTTCGCGGTGTCCCCATCCGACTCGAGATTGGTCCCAAAGATCTTGAAAAGAAGTCGGTCGTTGCCGTACGACGTGACACCAAGGCCAAGACCTCACTTTCCGTTGACAACCTTTCGGAGAGCATCTCTACGTTGCTCGATCAGATCCACGACGACATGTTTGCCAAGGCCGATGCCGAGTATCGTTCGCGCCGCAAGGTGTGCGAGCAGTGGGACGACTTCACTCGCATCCTCAACGACAAGTGTCACGTCGTGATTCCCTGGTGCGAGGTCGAAGCGTGCGAGGACGAGATCAAGAAGCGCAGCGCCAGACAAGCCACGCAGGGTGAAGCCGAGGACGAGAAAGCTCCAAGCATGGGTGCCAAATCGTTGTGCATTCCCTTTGATCAGGCGCAGTTTGGAGACATCACGGGCAAGAAGTGTCCCCAGTGTGGCGTGGATGCCAAGAGGTGGACCATGTTTGGTCGCTCGTACTAGACGCTGTTCTGTTTTGAGCAAGTGCAATGCAATGACAATGTCACGCCTGACAACGCAATGTGAGCGAGTGTGGAGCGATCATCAGAGATTGAGAAGGACGCGGATTCTGAGATCTGTGATGAGCTTCCGTGCCGGACGTGTGTATTGGAGAGTGTGAGGGGTAGAGTACAGTTTGCGATGAGAGGAGGTGTGGTGACATTTTTAATGATGACCTGCTTTATGACCTGTATGAGACCAAAAGGGACGGAAGACTCTGTCAGTGTCCTATCCGATGCTTGAATGACGATCCGAGCCGGAGCTTGTCTACTTACCATCGACGTACATATTCCTTGTAGCAGCGGGCAGTTGGACCTTCATTCCATCCTGTTCCTTTGTCACTTTGACCTGGCAGCCCAGCCTGCTCGTGTCTGTCAGGCCGAAAGCGAGGTCCAGCATGTCGTTTTCATCGTCGCACGGTTCTTCCAGCGAGTCGTATACGTCGGGTTCGAGAATGACGTGGCAGGTGGAACACGCTATCGAGCCTTCGCAGGCTCCTTCGAGGTCAATATCGTATTCGTGGGCGATGGAGAGGAGATCATCCCCGTCATTTGCGGAGACTGTTTTGAGCGGAGAGCCTTTGGGATCGACAAAGTGAATGATTATGCCTTCGCCGGGTGGCGGACGTGTGATCCCTCCGTGTTGAGGGAAAGCTGTGGAGGACAAAAAACGTGCAGATGGAAGCGGCGACAATGCTGGGGCGATTCGTCGAAATGCAGGGGCGAAAGTGACGGGACGACGCAAAACCGAGCGTGTCCAGGCTGTGAGCGCCGTAAGTGCAATCGTCATCACTGACGCCTCGAAGACCGTTCTTAGATGGTGGCTTTATGCCGGGTGGTGTGCAAAATCGTGTGATGAGAGATGAACGAAGGCAAGAATGACACCTACGATTTGGTCAGCTCCTTGGGGAAAATTGTATTTTTCGGCTCTCGGAACCACGAATTGCCGTATGTTAAGTTAAATTCTCATTGGGTATCGTTGTGGATCATCATGCATCGCGCATACATCTAACTGAAAGGAGCTTAGGGGAGAATTCCGGGGGAACGGTCAGGGGGAACAGTGTATAAAGCCCGTCAACATAGACATCGCTCCTTTCTGTCGCTTTGTATCAACCTCGCTAAAAAGTTTCAGTCACTCGCTATCTACCTGCAAGACTTCGACAACTTCATTGCCAAATCACCTCAAGATGCTCGTTCGCATTCTACTTCTGATGATGCTCATCGCCCACGCTAGGGCTTCTGCGATCTCGTGGAACACCAAAGAGTGGAAGATACAGTGCCAGTTCACGGTCACAAACCATCCGAGCTTGCTTCAAGCATTCGACGATTATCAGGCGCTCATTGCGGCTGCTCTTGGCGAAAGAGCGCTCGAAACTGTGGTGGCGGCCCTCGGAGGAGTCACTCGGGGGGCGGAACTAGGCAAGAAAATCCTTCGAGTTTCCTCTAGATATGCTACCAACCGTGAGCAGGAGAGGCGACATTATTTGATCGAGATCTACATGAAGAAGGGAGTCATTTACAACGTGGCGAGGCGGGAAATGTTTGAAGCTTGCCGATGGCTGGCGGAGGAATTCGAAGTCAATTTCCATGGCATATCGAACCACGACAACGAGAAAAGTGCAAAGGCGCCAGAAGCTACGACCGCTGCGGCCAACGAACACAAGTAAGCGGACGACCCGATAAGCTCTGCAGTGCAGATACATCAACTTCAAGGCTTTCGGGTGCCATGAACCTCCAGGAACGGTATCAGAACTTGGAATGCACGATCTGTCGGAAGCGTTGAGCTTTCAATGCAATGCTGCTTGTGTATTATGCCCTAAGTATGTACATAGAAGATGGAAATGCAGTTGTGGTATTATGAGGATAGGCGTGCCTTTGGCATTGTCCGTGGTCGCAAGCGTTGTTTTTAGCGCCCAAGACAGATTACCAAATGTTGTGACCACCCGAGACGATGATGTCGGAACCGTTGCAGAACGACGAGGCGCTCGAGGCGAGCCAGACGGCGACACCACGGATCTCGTGTGCGCGACCGAGACGACCAAGAGGGTTGGAGCCCGACCACTTGGCGAGCAGGTGAGGGTTAGTGTCAAGGTAAGCGGCGGTCATACGCGTGCGGATGTGACCGGGCGAGATGCAGTTGACGCGGATGTCCTTGGGACCCCACTCGGCAGCCAGGTTACGACCCATCTGGAGCACAGCCGACTTGGAGGCGTTGTAGGCGACCCAGTGGTGGTCACGGTTGACAATGGATCCGGACATGGAGGCGATCAGGATGATCGAGCCCGAGACGTTCTTCTGCTCGTGCATCTTACGGGCGGCGGCCTGTGCGGTGAGGAAGACACCGGTGGTGTTCACCTCGAACACCTTGCGGAACTCGTCGGCAGGGTACGAAAGAGCATCGTAGGTCTGGAGGATACCTGCGGCAGCAACGCAGACATCGAGCGAGTCGGTACCCGAGTCCTTCATGACGAAGTCCATGCAGGCGTTGATGTCGTCGTGGTCGGTGACGGTAGCCGAGACGTACTTGAGGTGCTTGCCCATGATGCGGCAGTGGTCGGCGACAATCTTGAACTCCTCGGAAGGCTCCTTGGGCAGATCAACGGCGTAAACGTGAGCACCGGCCTCGACGTAAGCGAGCGCCATCTCAAGACCGAGGCCACCGTTGCCACCAGTAATGACGGCAGTCTTGCCCTCGAGCGAGAACTCTTGGAAGATGGTGGTGGTGTGGTTGTCCTGCGAGTTGGGGTTCTCGCGGAGAACGGCATCGACACCGATGTTCTCAACGGGAGGGGGTTGGCCAGGGTTGGCCTGCTCAGCGGCGTTGGCGCTGGTGGGGACCATGCGAGCGGGAGCCCACACGTTGAAGTTGCGGGCAGCCGGAGCACGAGCGACGCGCGAGAGCATCGAGGCTGTTGAGGGGGTGGCCAAAGAAAAAGAGAGGCAGGAACGAGGAGAGGTCAATTTCGGCTCTTTGCATTGTACAATGAAGGATGCTGCGGCCAGTGTAAAGATTCCGTGTATCCATCGGCAGCCTTTTGTGGAAGACCATGCCTTTCCACAGAAGAGCGCCTCTCGCCGGAAACAAGGCGAGTCTGATAGACACCGCGGGAAGCGAATGCCCGCCCCGCTCGAAGGACTCGGCGAGTTTCCGGCCGTAGGTCAACGTAGCTAGAGAAGGAAAGGGATCAGGGTACTTACGCTGAGCAACGCGAGCCGAAAGGCTGCGAATGGCACCAGAGCGAAGGGCGGAGTTGATAGCTGCCATGATGATTTCGAAGGAGTGGAAGAGATTATAGGAACGAAGAAGGAGACTTGTAGTTCGCGAAGTCCACTGGGGTATGTATGAAGAGAGGACCGAGACCGGAAGCAAGAAGGGGAAGTTGGTGGGGCGGGAAGGAGATGGGGATGTCTCTTTGGTCCTTTATCAGGGGGAAGCGTGTGTGGGGGAGGCACGCAGATGTCGACAGAACGACGTTCCTCTGTGATGCAAACTCCGAGTCAGTACCAAACGGGCAGCAAGCAGGCGAGCAGGGAGGCAGGCGGGCAAGGCTGCAGAGCTGCCAAAGTTTCTTGAACTGCCCAAAAGCGTGGCGGACGGTCACGGGCTGAGTGAGTGTGGCAGTGGCCGTGAGTGGGCACACGGCTTAACCGGCAAGGCGGTCGAGCTGGGTGGCGCTACTCGAGTTCAATCAGTCGGAAAGTCACCCCAGGCCAAGAGTGGTGAGCGGTCGGCGAAGCGGGTGGACCGTGTTGAGCGAGATGCAGCGCGAGCGCCGAGACAAGCGCGGGGGCCCGTGATGAAATTTGGCTGAAATCTTGCCTCGGATCGAAGAAAGAGGCCGAAATTCCAGACTGGTAACCTTATCCAGAACCTTGGACAGGCTGTGGTCGGAACTTCCCCTTTCCCGCTTGCGATTGGATGACCGGCCAAGCTTGCGCCTTGGGATAAGAGTCCACAAGACATTTTAGGCATTCACGGGCACAGGCCAGCAATGCACGCAGCAGCAGGTGAGGACGCTGACCATAGGCGAGAAGCCGAACGCAGAGCACAAGGTAATGGACAGCGCAGGAAGAACGGCCGGCCTCTTTTTGTGGGTCAGACACAAAGTCTAAATTTGCGGCAGAGTATGGAGCCGAGCCGAGCCAAGGAGCTCATTCGTCTAGAAAAAAAACTATGTCGGGCATGCAGGGCGGGGAGCAGATGCGATGGCATTCTTCCGAGCCCCAGAGCGAGGAGCGCCGAGCCACTTGGCGCAAGTGTGAGGCGAGACCAACAGTTGCCCTTTCTCTCTCTTCTTTCGGCGGCTGCTCCACCACACCCGACTGTCGAGGTAGGATCAAACGACAGCAGCATGCAAGCCAATCCGAACGTCCTGACCGATGCTCCTTCATATCCCACCGCTCCAGGTAACTTAACCGGCCTTGTGTAGGCAAAAGGAGATATGCTAGGAGCGGCAACGAGAGTGGCGACTTGTGCAAGCAAGGAGCTGCAAAGCAGGCTGCAGACCGGGCCGTCTCGAACTGGTCTGAACTGCTTGCAGCGCCGGAAAGATGCTTCTGATTGGTTGAAACTAATGCGGAGAGCAAGGCGGGGCCAGAGATGCACGCTGTAGGCTCTTGCGGCGAAGCCGTTCCGTAGCTTACCCGCGGGTGGTGCTTTTCTTTAGATTTGAAATTCCAAGATGCACAAAGCTGGCCGATTCGCCGAGCTGCCAAAAAAAAAGAAAAAAAAAAGAAGTCGCCGTGAAATAGATTAGGTTGTGGCCGCTGCGTTGAAAGCGTCCAGGAAGAATGAACGCCTCTGCATGACAATGAGATGCGCCAGCCGTCTCCACAAGTCTCGAGCTCGTTTCGAAAAAATGGTGCCGGCAGGAGGCAGTCGGAGAACAGCTCTTGCGGAACGCTGACTGTAATATGGGTTGAGCCGCTGTCACAGCGGACAGAAGCAGCCACGGACTTTTTCCGAAGTGATCGGCAACGAGGCGTACCACTCAGCAAAGCGTCGGTCTGATTGTCGTGGAAAGGATTGGCATCGACGGTGGCGTAGCAACGCCGCTCGCATAAGGAGGGGGCAGTGCTGCTCTCGAAGTCATTTTCGCTCACTTGTGCGCTGCGATCGTCCCAGAGTGTGGGGTCGACGCGTCAGGTCCATGATGTTGTCCTGTAGCCTGGTTCTCATCGTGCAACACGGCCCAGTCAGCCGGTAGCACCGCCGGTTGCCAGCAGAAGGCGATACCAAGAAGAACAACAAACCGTGTGGTACCGAGCAGCCTCAACGTCATCGCGGCTGACCTACTGCGCGTTCCTTGTTCCACATTGACATGGGGATACGCTGTATCGGATAGGCCGATGACGTTAAGCAGAGTCACACCATCGAAATTTACCAGCAGAGTCGCTCTTTGGCCTCGCATGAATGATCATTATTCAAGCAGTAACGACAACGCTTCTTCCGATCGACAGTCGTCAAGAATGCCACCGACGTCGAAGCGTCGGATCCACCTAGTGCGAGATTTCCCATGTCATATCCTACGTCACAAGAGCGCGGGGGCCAGGCTGGTCTGCTCACACACCTTCAAGTCGGTGGAACACGCAACGCAGCCTCTCGTCCAGCTGTTCTTTCAGCCGACATCAATTACATCAAGGTCACCTGGACCACCGGGATCGTGCCAACACAACCAAGCTTCCGTCCTCCGCGTGGCTCCAGACCTGATTTCACGCTGCCTTTGTTCCCTTCCTTGGCAGCCACTGAGATCGAAATATGCCATCGCTGACTGCGTGCGAGTCAGCAGCCAAGCCAACGTATTGAAGGATGCCGCGTACAGCAGATATGAAATCGACATGACGAGGTCTCAGGCGTAGCCACTCGTGCATAAGCTCGGAGAAAAAAAGACGCCGAGGGAGCGGGGCTGAGATGCTGGCTTGTCCGTACCGTCAAACAAGCACGCTGCGACTGTTTCTACGAGCTTTTTTTCAAACTCAACTGTGAGATCTGGCACCGGACAGCACACTTTTTTATTTCGCCGAACGGCAATCTTCTTTTCCTGGCTGCTTTCTTTTCTGGGTGATGTGCGGGAGACCTTCTGCAGGAGTTTCGAGACTAAAAAGGCGACGGAGATGGCCACGCCGACTAGCGCACATTCTTGGCCTCTGAGACAAGGGATCCGCCCGCCCTGGACCGAAGAAAAAGTTCGAGACCCACGGGTTCAGGTCCATCCTGGCCGTCCTTCTCAGTCGAGCGCCTCCAACCCATTCTTCCCGGCAGATGCGTTCGTTGCTCGGCCGCCTTTCCGAAAGTCTAGCAGGGCCTCGGTGGTCGAGGTCTCCGCCAGTTCTGTCACACCATCTGTTTCGCAACGTTCGCCACGCTGAAGCACGATGTCGACCCGGACCCCACGGTTTTACAACACTGAGACATTAGCCATCAACGGCTTCGATTCGTCGACGCTCTGGCTGCAAGCGGTCTGCAGCAAGATTCTTCCGTTTCCTGCTCGCTCGGCACCACCAGACTGTCGGTGGAGACCCTGGGCGACCGCTCTCGATTCCGTTCTTCTTGGCCAATCAACTTTCTTCGTGGCCTGCCGGGCCGAAGACGAGCTGAGTGGGTCGCTTGCGCATCTCGCAAGGTGAATATGCCAACAAGGTGGACAGAGCGGCCAGACACGTCTCTGCAAGGAAGTTGACCAATCGCAAGAGGCGCTCCACTTCTCGGCGACACCTCGCTTCGCCAACTCGCATCGCGCTACTGTTCCTCGCGCACATCGTCCGTGGTACCATCTGCCGCACGTGGCTTCCCTGCCCGCCTTCCTTTCGGGCTTTGGAGCCCGCGTCGTAACACGTTGCGGGTGAAATCGGCTTGATCGACACACCACATGTCCGCTGGAACTAGCCTGCTGGCTACTTGGACCTCTTTGAAAGCGAGCACAAGCCCAAAGAGAGGACCCCGCTGGATGTCGATCGGGAGATGCCAAGATCCGATCTGGAGGACCGTGAATTCGTGCTACACTCAGTTCGCCGATGTGGAACAGGAGGTGAATGGACTCGTCACCAAGCATCGCAAGTTCAAAGTTGCACCGGAACAGATCAAGGCGATTCTGGATGCGATTTGATCGAGATGTAACGTTTATACCCGCTGTCAGTGTTCGTATTGCACAGACTTTGTATGCGCCTCAGCGCAATGATGGAAATGGAAAGACTGCACAGCCAAAACGGGAAAGACATGAGAATTCTGTGACTTGTTCTCCCGATCTTGAGAGGTGAATAGACATGTGTGAGATGACCCTGAGCTATGTACAGGGATGTTGTTTTTGTGGTTCTACCGGCGGCCAGGCGCAACGAAAGCACAGATCAGCGACACGCAATACAGATGCTCAAGCCTTGACCTCGTCGCTCTTCTCCGCCTGCTCGTCAGCATCCTGGATGCCGCTCTTGGCGAGCATCTTTTCGACCTTTTCGATGTTCTCCTTTGTAACTCTGGCCTGGTTGGAGGTGAAGTACTGACGTTTGAGCTTGAGGTTCTCCACCACCCTTCCGACGTCCGACGCATTGGCCGGTGGGGGGATGCTCAACGCCAGCAGGGCGGAAAGCGTTCCGAGGGGTACGTTGAGTTTTCCTTCGCCACTGCCGGCTGCGGCTGTTGCGTTTTCGTCGGCGTCAGCACCATCGGCGCTGAGGTCGAGAGGTGTTCCGCGTTTGTTAGCTCGACCCTTGGATTTCCTGTTCTTGGCGTTGCCGGCAAAGTAGGTCTCCTCGTCCTCGTTCTTCTGACGCAGAACAGCACCCTTGGGAACCATGGCGTCCGAGTTGACCTGTCGCAGATTCAACGCTTTGCCACCTACAGCTGCCTTTGCCACCTCGGGCTTCTCCTGCGCACCTCCGCCGGTTCCTTTGGAGAAGTAGTTGATGAGCACATCGCAATCCTCGATCTCCTTGGCGAAGGCGGGCATGGCGGCTTCTTCGCGCAGCTGTGCGGCATGCTCCTTCTTCTTCTCGGCCTCGACGGCGGCGCGCTCCTCTCGCTGCTTGGCGAGTCGCTTCTCGCGCTCCTGGTTGAGTTTTGCGTAGAAGGTGTCGTTGGCAGCACGGAAAGCCGCTTGACGGTCGCGGCGGGTCTGGTAGAGCGAGTCGAGCTGGGCACTGAGCTGGGTGCGTTGATCCAGCAGCTTGCCGCGGGAACCGGCTTGCTTGTCCTGTTCGGCCTGGATCGAGTCGAGCTCGGCCTTGATCTCGTCGTATCGCTTGTTGAGGGCTTTTGCTTCGGGACTGTCGAGGGTGGATTTGAGTTGATCCACTTTGCTGCGGTCGGCGTCGATGCTGGCTTGAATGGTGTCGAAGTTCTCCACGACTTTGCGGTTCTTCTTCAACTGCGAAATCTCGGAAAGTGCCTTCTTCTCCTCAACGAGCTTCATGGAGCCGGACTCGACCTGGTCTTCCAACCTCTTGATCCTGGAGTCGACATCGGCCGTGGACTTGTAAGGAGTTTTGCTCTTTGCGTGCTGCAGATCTTTGATCTTCTTGGCGATGTTTTCCTGGAGCGATCGCAGGTCTTCGAGGGTCTTACCGCGAGCGCCTTTGGAGCCGGCCTGTTGGTTTCGCAATTCGTCGAGTTGCGAACGCAGTTCAGCACGGCGAATGCCGGCGGGGGAGTCTTTGGATGGTCCGGAGCCGGAGAGGAGGGAGCGAACCTGGTTGAGTTCCTTCTGGACGCGTTCGATGGATTTGGCGAGCTTGTCGAGTTCGGCAGAGTTGGCCGAGGCGTCGGGTTTACCTCCGGTTCCTTTGGCGATCTCGACGGCGTCAGGGTTGGCTGCGGGACGATCGTGTTTCTTGTCGGTGGCAGAGGGGGCCGCACCGTTGCCGTTAGCGGTAGTGGGGGCGGGGGCGGTGTCGGCCATGATTGACGAGGGACCGCTGGTCGTTGTGATGGAGGATCGGAGGAGGAGGGGGACTGGGGAATAGGAGCTACAATTGAGAAGATAGACAAGGAGCAGATGTTGGAAGCGAAGGACGTGTTGCGTTGGAACGACGGGAAATGGTGCAACGGCTGAAACAGTGCTTGCGTGGAAGAGTGGGGCGCGGGAAGCTCACTAGAGCGGGCGAGCGCCTTTGCCCGTCTGACACTTTCCAGAAGAGAAGCACAGACACACATAACACAGCTCGTCCTCTCTCGCCTGATGAGAGGCAAAACCAATTTCCTCGCTTTCTTCCAAAACGGCGCTGCCCTTTTTGAGTTCGGTTAAGAATGTTAAAGTGACGCTTGCCAAGGCTCGGCGGCTTTTTCCTTTTGAGGCGGCTCTCCACGCTAGGGCCATCACCGCTCTCTCTCGCTTTTGCTTCCCATCATCGTACTATGAACAATCCTTCCTCACCTTCACCCCAATCAACTCCATCTAAGTAATCTGCACAATGTCCGAACACCCAGCATTCACAATGGCCGGCCTCTGCTCCGTCGGAGGCCTCATCGGATTTGCCAAGACCCGATCCATCCCTTCGCTCGTTGCAGGCGTCGGTGTCGGTGCCCTCTACGCCCTCGCCGCCACTCGCATCAAGAACGGCGGCGATTACGGCTACGAGATCGCTACGGGCGCCAGCGCACTTTTGATGGGAAGCTCAGCTCCCAGGTTCCGAAAAGGTCCCGTGCCGATGGGATTGACGCTTACCTCTGCGTTGGCGCTGGCATACTATGGAAAGAAGGTAAGCAGGCAGTGGCCGAATCGAAGATGGAAATGCGTAGGATAGATCTCTGACGCAACACTCTTGCTTGATGTGACTGCAACTGCTCATAGGTGTACGACTTCCGACAGTAATCTCAGCGCCGACCCATCATCAAACGTGATGACACAAACATGCAGTAATCGTATCATCTCCACCCCTTCTAGCACTAGATTGGCTCACATAAACGTCCAGATGATTGGACCGACACAGCGAGTTGCCGCGGCACACAGCTTAGCAAGTTTGCTTCAGAGGCCGAGATGGAGCAAAGTGGGAATGATGAAGTGTCCGTTGAGGAAGATAAGTCGGCATGAGGATACGGGTTACAAGAGCACTTCTGCAGACCCAAAGAAATCAGCAAAAATGGACCGCCAACAGCTACTGGTATGCATGGCCAACGTCACGATCCGCGGCGCCTCCAAGAGGTTGACTTGTTGTCGCTGAGGCTGCCGTTACGCTGCGTGGTGGCATCCGGTGCTCGTCACCACCACCAGGGTTGCTATTCTGCAACCAACCGCCGTACTCTGGCGGCAGCTCATCCATCGCTTCCTCTTCGTCTTCCGTGTCGCTCGAGGGTTGTGGCAAGCTCCCGCCGTCTGTGTGCTGCACAACGCGACGCGGAACTCTATTGTCTCTCCTCGCTTGCGCTGCTGCTGCCCGTGCTTTGCTCGACGTACTTGCACCTGCTGCTGCAGAATGCAATGCCGCTCCCGACGAGCCAGCATGGTAAACCTCGTTCGGGGACGAGAACGGATCTTGACTCGAATGCCGCGAGTGAACTGAGACGTCGCCTGCACGAGGCGGATAGTCGTTGTGAGAAGCAGACCGCGCCAGCCCGGCAGCGCTCAGAAGCTCGCCGTAGCTGCTGTTGGTCGCCGAGACGGGCGAAGTCATCTCGAGGCTCTGACCGTATCTTCCATCAGATGACGATTCGGTGGCCGGCTCGTAGACAAAGGGCGAGACGGCATAAGAACGCCTCGCCGAGACGCCGTCGTCGAAGGGGCCATTGCCGTTCCGCCTTGTGCTGCGACTCGGCCGAGCTGCCACTGCTGCCGCCCAATCTTCGTCATCTTCGCCGTCCAGATCAACAAAGCGTACTTGCTCGCTGCGAGCCAAGTCTCGCTTTGTCTTTTGCCTCCTGCGGTACACGAGATATCCGATTAGACAGCCGATGGCCAAGCCGAGCGCTATCGCACCGCCGATGGCGCCTCCAGCAATAGCACCGGTCGGGCTAGATTTGGAAGTCGTCTGCGGTGTCAAGGACGCGATAGCGCCAGGTAGGTTGCCGAACGTGGCCACATTGCTGGCGATGGGAAGGGCGACGCTCAGTTTGTCTGGGAGCGAATAGGAGGAGGCGAGGCAAAAGGGACTGTACGTAGAGGGTCCGACGGTAAAGATTTGCGAGGCACCACCGCTGCCAGGACCCGAAGCATCGCCAAGCACGGTCTGGAATTGCGTGCCTTCCTGAAAGGGAACGTAAGTGAGGTATTTGAAGTTGGAGATGTTGAGCGTGGCGCTGTTGGGTACCTGCACCGACACGGGAGTACCTCCGAGCGGGATGAAGCTAATGGTGAACGGCCGAGTACCTCTGTCGCCGATGTTGTAGAAATCCACCGCGCCGCATTGAATCATGCTGGTAACGTTGCGCGGATCTGCTGCATACGTGAAAGCGGCGCTGCCCGTGTAGGCAGCGCAGTTGGATGTCGAACCGGCAGCTGTGCCAATTCCAAGTGCCTGTGTTGTATTGCCATCGCCTCTCGAGTCACCGACGGTGATAGTGTACGAGGTGAAGCCGGCGGAGGGTGGAGGAACTACGTACTGAAAGGTGACATGATCGGCTCCAGGCTGGTAGTCGCTGTCGATGCGGAAGGTCTGCACGAAACCGTGGTTGGCGACGACCCAGACCGTATATGGGAAACTCTGCGGCTCCGCTCTCCAGGTGACGTTGAGCGGTGTACATTGCTGGGACACCGTAACATTGAGCGGCATCGCCGATGTTGGTACCAACAACCCAGAGCACGTCAGCACTGCGAGCAGCAGCAGGTGGAGCAACGACATGGTGCGAGGAGTGCTGCAGCACCACGGCTTCGTATAGGCGCAGGTACCAGAGCGATGCTCGTTGCTGATCGCTGTCCGTCTGTCGTTCGGCAGATCCTTAGGACAAACGTAGCGTGCCTGTTGATGACATGGATAGGGCGGGCGTGAGAGCCGTTGCGGCCCGACCGAATCAGTCTGTGGGAGCGCCTTTCGTGTGAAGGATGTCGCGAAGCTTCGGCTTTGGAGCCGACCCAAGTATCGCAACGTGTTCGGACTGCAACGCGCAGCGTGCTAGATGAAAACCCGTCAACCGATCTCTGAGGGATGTGTCGAGCCTGCGATTTACCGGGGCGGAACAGTCTCGGATTCTCTGTTGGAGGCGAGACCTTGAGCTTTTCAAGACGACGAGCAGCGAGCGTCGAATCGGCCCTGACGTTGGCCTAGGGGGATGAAGATTGGGCGGACGGTGATGATGGAGGTGGTGCAAGCGAGCTGATCATGACGCCGCCGAGACTGCTGCTTCGGACTGCAGTCGGTGTGTAGCTTAATTTCAGGAAGTACTGTAACGTAGCAACGAAGATGCATGCGCGTCACAGAGGCTTTTTCGCGTCCGAGCGAGCCTCTCTTTGCTTCTTCACTGTCACACGGCAACCTTGCGATTTAGGTGTTGGAAAAAGGGGCGTTCTGCTGCCGGACAAGTCAGAGTGAGGGGAAAAGAACCCAGCTGAGACACGCGCCAGCAGCTCGCCGAGCACATGCATGGTTGAACACAGCCGGGCGAAAACCAACGAAAGGGCAGGTTCGCACTAAAGACTTGGCGTTCGATCTTCTTCTGGCTTGGCGTGGTCGAGCACTCCGTGTGTGCGAACAGAACTGTCCGAGTCTCGATGTCATCTTCCCTCCTTCGCCTGTCGGCTCATGTGTCCGATTAGAGTCTCGGCTTCGTCACTGGGGTAGAGTGCAGGACTGAAAGGGAAATGTGGATGTCACTACGGGTCAGGACATGCGGGAGCTAATCTAGCTAAATCACCGAGATCGACCCGATCCAATCCATCGCGATCTCCTGCGAAGGGATGACGAGCAGGAATGCAGCTCGACCCCGGAAGTCCAGCAGGTCGATGCCGATGCATTGGCGCCTGCATGAGCGTTTTCAGGGTGCTGCATCTCGACCTTTCGACACCTTGCCTGCGATCAGGCATAAACAGTCCGTCTCGGACTGGCTCCTACAAAAAGAAAGTGACGCGCACAAGCTTTTGGCCACATGGTCGTGCTGCTGGTGCGACATGGCGCAAACGAGGCTGCATTGTTATTGGTGCAAGGGCTAAGAGGAGCTATGCTCGGACCTGTCTAAGCGACGATGCCTTTTGCCGTCGACAATATCGAAGCTGCAGAGATCTGATTGATCCTCTGACAGACATCTTCTAATGCACGCGTTACTTGAGCAATCTGCTGGTCCCATCTGCGAGTCCACTTGGTATCCACGTCGCCCGTGCCGGCACTGCCGCCGGGACCGCTTTCTGCCGTCGCTCCTCCACTGGCGCTGCCGTCGCCGCCGCTGCTCTCCACCTTGGTAGCTTCGAGCCCTCCTGCCGTCGTCTCTCCCTCACCACGTCGCTCCTGATCGATGAAGAAGAGCACTCCACCACCGCTTCGTGTGCTGCTATCGTCTACCTGGTCGATCCACCCTTTGAGTCGTCCTTGCATGATCATCCTGCGTGCGATGTCTTCTGCCCCCGTAGGGCTCAAGTCCACTAGGGCTCCCAGCCCAGCCAGCGTGATATTGTCGTACAACCTCGATGCACTCAACACGTTGTGCTCGATCATGGCCCTGTCTAGCACCGTCGATGGCGCATGTCGGATCGACTTGTTCCCACGCGCTCCCTCGGTGGTTGTCGCGGCCATCGACGTGCCTGAGGCAGATGCAGGCGCGAGCTCGGCAATCTGATGAGGAGAAAGCAACTTTTCGAAGCTCGCTATCTCGTCTGGACGAATTACACGGTCCAAAAAGACCTTGGACAGGATGGTGTACTGGGGCAGCGATGGCGCACGCTCGTCGCGCATCAGCATGGCAAGCGTCCTTGCTCGCTGCGGTCCGGCTGGCGACAGGATGGCAGCCGTCACAGCGGCGGACAGCATCATAGCACGATCGTCTTCGTCGATCTCGGCGACATAGCTCAGCTCGTGGTACCGAATCGCGGCCTTGGAGAAGCGTCGCTGCGAATCATAGACGCGGGCTTGAGAAAGTCGATACTGTAAACCCAAAAGCTTGGGGTCCTCAAGTCTGTACTTTAAACCACTTGCTGCGGCACCTGTCCCTGCTTCCTGCGCGTCGCCTTGCGCGTCCTCTCCTGCGGTTGAAGATGGTGCCGAACCGGCTGCCGCTTGGCCTTCCTCCTGCTGCTGTTGCCGATACTGGGACGGAAGAGCGCCGGGTACATTGTGAATGATCATGCTGGCGCGTTTGAGATACATATCTGCCGCCACTGGGTCGTCGCCTTCGAGCAGCAGACGCACGATCCGCACGTAGATCGAAAGCTTCAAGTGGTCCGAGACGTTGCGGTGACCCGAGTCCAAGGGAACCGCCAACAAAACGCGCGCGGCTTCGTTCCAATCCTCCTCCGCCTCAAGCAGGCTCGCTAGCTGCATTCGAAGACTCGATGCCTGTTCCTCAAAGCTGATTACCCGAGGCTGGAGTTGGTCTAGGGCATTCTCGAGCAATTGTCGCCGTGTATCTCTGTCGGCGATCGCAGGAATCCCACCGTCCTCGTCATCCTGCATCCTGTCCTTGTCGCGGCGTCGAGATTCATATCCCTCTGCAATCCGTCCTGCATGCTGCTCGAGCACAGTGAGAGCTTGTCTGCCGATGACAAGGCCACCGCCGGTAGAGTTTTGCTCGCTGAAGACCGCGTATCGCAGGTAGGCGGACGCAGCTCCGAGCAGGTCTTCGCGATTCAGCTCGCTTGAAGGCTGCTGCAAAAGTTCCGAAATGAGTCTCTCGTAGGTAGCCAGGCGTGAGGCATTCGGCTGTGTTGCTACATGCTGCAAGCGAGCCGTGAAGGACTCCGAGGTTGAAGACATGGTGACGAGTCTCTAGTTGCCTGAGAATTTGTTCCCGCCAGCTTGTGGCAGCTCCCCTTTCTTCTCGGCTACTCAGAAAGATCGAGAGATAGATCGCGAGTATGTGATCGTGATGCTCTTGGGCCGCAGCTTGGCACTGGGAGCGACAGATGGGATCAAAGTGTTGATAGAAACGAGGAGAATGGCGGAAGTGGAGTAAAGGTTTACTGCGCCCTTGCGCACCTGCACCGTGCTTTTGCGAATGTAAAATACTTAATGTTATTAACACGACTCTAACAGTTAGTACCTTTCGCCGTCCCGACTATCGAGGGAATTCGTCGTTGCGCCTCGTCTGCGGTGCTTCGACCCGACAAACCTGAGAGGCGTTATATGCAAAGACGAAGCGACGAGACGGATTACACAAGCAGAGACTGTAGCTGATGTCGAATTCAAGAGGTTGCCCAGCGACAGACTGCGGCGACGACGACAAGATGAATCGAACGATCGCGAAACACATTTCCGATTTCATGCCTCTACTCTGCGGGACAAGCTTCAAAGCTGTCTGCTGCCCCGGGACAAGGCCTCACTTCGTCCATCAGCGTGGAGTTTGAGGACTGCGGCTGGTCAATGATGCTTCACGCTAACCAAATGGGAAGGCCATCGAGCTTTGACAAGAGTGTGCGACGGGAAAAGCCTCAAAATCGACACCCGGTCGGTTCGCTATGAAAGTCTCGTCCAAGCGAGCATAGAGTTTGAGTTGTTCGCGGCTGTCGAAGAGATGCTAGCAAGAATCTGGGTGTTGTCGAGCAGAGGTCATGGCGATATCAGCGACAGAATCAGGCCATTTTGTTCCATGCGACAGAGCTCCGACTGGAGCCACGCGCGGGGCCGGGGCACAGCTGCACGCCAACGCCTTCGAAACCAGGTCACCGAAGAATGGTGGACGGGTTCTGCGCCCGCAGGAAGGGGTTGACGCGATCGATCTTCCAGGCACATGTGTAGAGTGAGCGAGAAGCAGTCGGGCTTAGCCTTGGGCTTGCGCTTTCGCCTGGAGGCGGATCAGCTGAGTGCGAATTTGGCACTCCGACGGTTGACGGCGGAAGAATGGGATTTGGTTGGCGCCCATCAAACAAAGCAGACGCCGACAATAAGTCAGCCCTTGCTTTCAAAGCGCCAGGCTAGCTCTGACATGGCCACCTTGCTGCACCTGCTTCCACCGCAAGATGCCGGCTCCGGCTACAAATTGAGCGTCCTATTTTGTATGAATGACGTCGCCGCAATGCACATTGCTCTCATCCGAAGTTTAGATCTCAGGGTAAACGAGGTCTGCCAAAGCCGAGGTGTAGATTCGATGCAGAAGCGAGACAGAAGCCAGCAGGTTGCAACCAATTCGCCTGTGATCGTGCTGTTGATCTGTAACCAAATAAGCGAAGTGTCGGAGTTGCATTTTCCTTTGTGGCCTCTCTATTCGAATGTAGGAACAAAAGACTGTGTGGCTGCAGCCACCAAAAAAAAACGGACAAAGAAAAAATGCCGAACCGGGATGTTTGCAAGCATCAAACTTGGTGTAGGTGCAGGAAGCTGACCTCGACTATCTTGATCGCTTGCACGACAATATCAACCTTTCGCCCGCTTCCATTGCGTCGGACTGTTCTCCATAGTGCGGGGAATTTCTGCTTGAGTTGCTTGATTTCTCCCTCAAAACCTCAGAAGCGCGGCTCGTATAAGGACAAGACCTTGGCATGTGTCGAGACCCCTTTGCAACTCCCCCGACACGATCTGCTTCTACAAACATTCAGACCCTGGAGCAACACCGATCTGCTTCCAGTCGAGACGAATGTAAAGAGCTTCCACCTGAGCGGTGTCATATAAAGGAAAGAGGGATGCGATGCGAAAGTGTGCGTACGACTGTGATGCGAACGAATTCATGAGTTGATGAGTCAAAACCGAGCTGGGACCGCATGACATTTTCGCCCAAACGGAACGCGCAGCTTTTCTGGATCCAATTTCGCGCTTTTGCAGAGGGTGAGCGGGGCGTCTACTCATGATGAAGGGCTGCACCGAACGAATGTTGAATTGTTCGCAACGACATCGGGCGGAGATCGTCTGCTTTTGATCCGCAGACGGTACGGTACACAAACGCTGCTGGACACACCCACCGTGTCGGTCGAAGAAGAGACTGGGCGGTAAGGCTAATGACTGCTGGGGAATGCTTGCATGACGAATCGACTCGCTTGACTACGAGCAGCGAGCAACTAGAAGCTGATGTGCTGGCTGGAGCTGGCACTGTGCAGAGGTCTAAGGAGGGATGGCGATTGTTGTACCTGCTGTCAGGCTGTGACAGTTGTTTTCGGCGCCTGCTGATGCGAACGCAAGCCACAAAGGAGGCGCTGCAATAGTGCGTAACGTGGTCGCCACAGATGCAGGGAACGCCGGGTTCCGGCAGCCCCAGCACTGCAGGCTTGCGCCTCACCTTGTCAGAAGGCTCGAGGTAAAACGAAAGCTTGTCGTCTTAGTCGACTTCCCAGTGTCAGGGCAGTCTGCAATTTGACGATGGCACAACAAAAAAAAATGTCAAATCGGATGGCAGCATCAGGGAAAGACAGACCAGGAATCCTTCGCTTCGATCTACTGTTGGCCACCCAGGCTCCGGGTACATTTGTGTCCAGCATCAGCGTGAGAGAAGAGGGGTGCGGCAGCATAGCCGAAATGGTCGGCTGCGCACTATCTCGACGCCACCCGACGGAGAATCACACTGCGACTCAATTCTGTGTTCTACGTCGCTGCAACCATTTCGGCATGCAGCTTTACTGGAGGCCACTCAGACAAATCCCTCGTCACGCAACGGGGCAAATCTTTTACCCAAGACAAGCGAGGTCTGAAGCTGAGTAATGCCTGTGCAACGTGGCAGCGAACCGAGTTTGACTGCAGCATCACCGAAACCCACGACTCTTTTGCTGCTTCCAGCAAGGATTCGTATCGACTGTACAGTGCACTGTGCAGGCGAATTGAAGAGGCGCGGAATGGAGTTGGCGACCGGTAAGAGGCGTAAGCGAGCGTGATCAAAGCCTCCCCAGACACCGGGCAGGCTCGAAGCCGAGATGATTCTGTTTGCACCGGTGTCCTGATCATGCACATCTCGTTGCCGATGCCGGTGAAACTCGTTTGCGGCACAGCGAATTTTGGAGGGTTCGCATCTTCTTGCTTACACCAACTTGGGGGAGTAAGGAAGGCCAAGCATTCCGTCGAAAGACAGGCCCGCTTCATCTACTTGATATGCACGGGTTGAGAACGATAGCAGACACGTGGACGGGCAGTCTCCACTGTTGGCTCGGACTGCATTTTATGCAAGTTGGTCTGACGAGCCCCGAGAGCGGCAGTTGTAGCTGTACAGAAATTGAGCTCTTTGAGAGCGCCGGGGACCGGGACGCTTGATCTGTGGCCAACTTCGTCGTGTAAGGGAAGGCCTAGGCACATCGATTTTCGAACAGACATCAATCTTCATGCGACAACTTTCTCTCGTCGAGGCGCAGATGCGGTTCCCAGATTTCATGAATCTCGATCCGCGGCGGATTCGGAATGTTGAAAGTAAGGGTTAGCTGGATCCGGACGGCGAAGCACTTGCGGACTTGCAACAAGACTTTCAGTCAGTCCAGTCTGTTGCCACTGGGATATTACTGAACATCATAGACCTCGCAGTGTCGGTTGCGGATGACAATGAGCTCGCCGATCTCGAATCGACCTGCCGCAATCTCGAAAATGAGCTCGCTAATGCGGAGCGGCATGGCTTTCATCTCGGAACGACTCTAAGCGAAGAGCATGGCGGGAATTCGGCGTGCGAAAGAAAGGCTAGTGCTCCAACTGCTTTCCAGGCTTGTGTCGGCCGGGCGAGATCCGCAGGCCTAGCTTCATCTTCGCGCTACATGGAGAATACGATCGACCATGCGCCCGCGAAGAAAAGAAGGGAAAAGCATTCCCCTGCGCAGAAGGAGCTAGTCGACAGCGTGCGTAAAGGAGTAAGTTGACCTGACGCTCGTCCATCCGGCGAGTGAGCAACTGGACGCAGACCGTACTCCCGCCGATGCCCTTTGGCTGAAGATGGCGCAAGGGTGTGTTAGTGGTCTCAGTTGCTAAACGTAACGCTAGTACGGGCCGAGCGCCACTTGGGTTCAGCGATAAGGGTCGTGGGCCCTTGCGCTCATTGTTTCCAGGAAGCAGTTCTGCAGTGCTATCGGAAATCACGGTGAGTCGGTGCTGGCGAATGGCCTGACGAGGGCGGCGGGTGACGTTGGCGCTTTGTAGGTATGGCCGCTGCAGGCTAAGACAATCGTACTTTTGCCGAATCCGAACCGAAAGCAAGGGGCTCGTGGAAGATTAAAGCTGATTACGGTCTGGACCTCGCTTGCATGGTAGGTTCCGCTGAGCCACCGTGCTTGGTTTCCAAACACGCGTGACTGCTGCCGACACTCGAGATTCGAGTATTGGAATGTTTCGGCTAGCTGCGAATTTGCAATTATTGGAATGGGAAGAAGCAGAGGTTGTTGCTCACGCTCAACAAATACTCCGACCTGCATCGTACCACCACAGCACGAGGGCTTCAAAGACAAGCCTTGCCGCTCCTGCCCGTCGTCGAATTGAGGACCGACATGGAGAAGTCTCGCGAGGTTGTGCCAGTATGAAAGCAGCGGGGGAAACGAGGTGGGAAGATCTAGGCCGACAAAAGGGAACTTGTTTGCGTGCAATCCGAGTCGTCGGTCCCCCATCTTCGAGATTGCGACGAAGAGACCCGAACGGACCAGATTCATGCGGGTATGACATTATAGCAGAAGGAATGCGGTGGGTTGCTCTTGCTGGCCAATCTTCTACAAGTCCGGGCATGTCGGGCATAATCCTGGCAAACCTTCGTCTCGCGTACCTCGCTAGTTTTTCACCAGCGTAAAGGAACTGAATAATATTGGATATTAAGCCATAGATTTCAATGTCAGGCAATAGATTGGAAAGAGGAGCCACTATAGACGGAGCCGAAACACACCGCATCGGATCACTTGAGGGCCGGCTCCGATGGAGCGGCAACTCATCGTAAGACAAAAGGTATTACAGTTTACAGGCTCTCGTTCGGTGCTTACGGTGGCAACAAAGCGTCACAACAAACAGACCCGCACCAAATCGACACGCACACTGCGTTCGGAGTTTGGAATTTTCGTGGCGACATGCATGGAATTGGCTGTGGTCCGAAGCTGTGGGTCCGTTGACATTTTTTTGAGCGCAGCCGCGGTCGCAAGCTTCGTCACACTTTGATTGAAATGAAGCGAGCAAGAAGTGGGACTAGTAGCTTTCCTCACATGGAGCCGAGTCGAGTGGGATGGAATTTTGTTGACATTATGTTCTATAGCAAGCTCCGTTTGAAGCCCAGGCTCGTTCGGTCATGGTGATCGTAAGCACAATCACGATGTCGCCTAACCCTCTTGACACCTCTTGAAAGATGCTGCTTAATGCGTGGCTCCTGTCCGGCAGGGGGAGCTTCCGAATTCAAAAGGGGTAGAGTGCAAGCTGGTCCGGTGATGCACGTCATTTCCGGACGAATGTGTCGTGGCATCGTGAGCGGCAGGCTTCGGATGCATATTTGAGCGTCTCGGACGAGATCCCGGTCAGAGGCAGAGCGGTCAAGCTTCCTATCAGCTCATTCTGCGTTCCAAACAGCTTTGCGTTCAACGAAATGACATGCCTCATACCCTTACTGTAGTACTTGCTGAAGGCGGACACGAGACGGGGCTTCCAAGCAGCTCATGCCTCTCTTTTTGTTTTTCCGTTCAATTTGACTGCACTGTTTATACAGTTTTTCTTTTCGAATAATTTATTTAAACACAGTACACCATACAGATCCAGTGTTTTCGCTTGTACGACCCGGATTTGCTGCGGACTGGCACCCGAAGGCATTTGCTGTTTTTCTCTCATCGCTCGAGCGACAGTCGACTTTGGCAGCCAATCGACTGGACGACAACGACCACGAGCGCTCGATCCCTCTCACCATGCCTGACAAGACGAATACTCGTAGCGTAGCTGCATGCTAACTATTTCATCACGATGGGCTTGGCACGCCAAAGGCAAGGCGGAGACGGGTTGACGCCGGCGCCGCAGATCCGGCTGTTGACCGGCAACATGTCGTTGTCTACTTGACTGCAATGCGGCTGCCACGTCGTTCGGCTGCGAAGCGGCCTATCCGTTGCGCTTGCGCTCTTGAACTTCCGACCCTTGCTCCCCCCTTCCTGGGTCCTGTTCGGCTACGAGACAAGTCGCACACCAACGCAAGCTCGCGAGCACACGCGCACGCACGTACGCACGCACGCGCTTGCTTCCGCTCTCGCGTCTGCCGCCCTTCTGTTATTAATATAATAACTACAATAACGCCGCCTCCGATGTCATGGCACTCTTCCGATGTCACACCTGTGCTTTCCTACGACTGCTGATCACTGTGTCTCTCTCTCTCTAACCCAGTTCCATACATGCAGACCCCCATGCATGCCGGTCTCGCTTTCCGTGTTTGACTGCATCCGCGAGATCTCTGATTCGGCGCACGTCCGGTTCCAACCTAATTTCACACCGAGAACATCTCGAGACAGTTGCGCCGTCCCACTTCCCTCTCCTCCGCCTTTCCGAAGCATCCCCAGCCACACCTCACCCAGAACGTCGCCTCCTGTCGGCTGAACGGGTTGGTTTGCTCACCGGCCTCGCTTAGTGCATGGACTGTTTGACCGGCAGCACGGTAACCCTTCATTTGATCGGATCCTAAAGGTCACAACCTGCATGCTTCGCTGCGGTCGGCACTCGACTCCTTCTGCGTTACCCTTGCTTCCGCATCACGCTCATGTTGGCGTTTGACTTTGGCCTCCTTTCCTCCGACTCCTCCGTTTTCTGCTTGCGCCCCTCCTTCTCGAGCTGCATCTGCGGGCACTGCGATCACCCTCTGTCGCCTCAGCCGTCCACCTTCGCATACACAGTGCAGCCAGATCCACCGTTTCGCGTGTTGGCGCCTCCGCACCTACGCACAGCCAACCCTACCGTATCCGTCTTTGCTCAAGCGGACACCCTTGACTCTTGCCGACGTTCCTTTCTTTCCCGCCTTTCAGAATCACCAAGTTCATGCCGCAGAGCTTGCAGAGGTGGCAACAGCACTCGTGGCGCCGTTTCAAAGCAGGCCTAGGCAGACATCGATAGCGGCGCCGCCACTTTCCCTGTCTTCCTCCCTGTCTCCCTTCAACGCCATTGCTGCTCTTTGCCTTTTCACCTTTGCTGTCCCACGACCGCTCTGGACAAGCTAGCGTGCATGCCTAACATTCTGTCACAACCAGAAAGCTCTCTTCCTCGATCCTTTCGCCAATCTTGTTCAATCTTGACCAAATTTCTTGCCTCTTACTCTCAGCACCCGTAGAGCGATCCCTGCCCACCCCACACGAGCATCTTTGCTAGCGACCAGCTGGAACACCGGACCAACGCCACCAAACCAAGCTTCTTACGGACCCCGCTTCGACCCTCTTTTCAGCATCGCGCCATCGCGCCAATCCGTGCTCATCTAGTTGCTCGGCGTGCCTCACACACGCCATCGGCAGCAGCGTGCACTCCTCGTGCTGGATCTCAGTGACGACCGCCGCTATCTGTTCGACACTGTTGACGCACTTGGCCTGACTCGACCCGTGCACCGTCCTCACAGGATCCACCGTATCATCGTATCCGGTCAACGGCGTGCACACTCGGCGCCGAGCCTTCACATCTCACTCGTGAGGCATCCACTCGTGGCCTTGCGTGATCCACTTCCGATCCCTACTGGCTTCCATCTAATAGTTCAGCTATCATCTGCACTTCGACGCCACCTGCGCTCCTTCATTCGGCGTCGCCAGCCCGAACTTTCTGTGGGGACTTGGCGTCCGCTGTCATTACGCCATCTTCATCTGGCCGAATCGCCCACTCAAAGCAGCCACGAGCACTGCAGCACGACGTCAGTCTTCATCAAGACCTTTGTCCGCCACTCTGCAGCTCCAATCTTCCTTCTGAAGCGTGGGTCCGGAAATACGAGAGCCAGTGCTAAGGTTCGAAAGAGCCGTCGAAAGCTCAATCGCATCGAGCAGGCTTCTTGCGTCTTTCCTAAGCGTAGTGAATAACGTCACCTGCATGGCGGCGTCGTGCATCACTTCATTAACGTGTCCCTCCATCGCGCAGCTCGTTCTTTCACTTGACCGCCACTGTGCTGGGCGGAACCGCGCTTCTCTGCCGGTTCTTCCGCCTTGCGCCACTCGAGTCCTTGATCTCTTGCCCTTTGTGGACACAGACTCATCGAGTACCGTCCAAGCCATTTGCCAGCTGGCTATCGCGTGGTCGGCCGATCACGCTCTCTTCTAAGCTCCCTGTCCCGCTTTCTCCCCTTCAACTTTCTCCATCCCTGCTCCGTTCTCTTCCTCGGTTCATTGCTCCACGGGCCCTCCTGTCTTTCCGGACGTCAAACCTGTGTATCTGGTAATTCCATCGATCTGATCAGTCGCCACACGTGCAGGCTCTTCGAATTGATCTGGACTCTTCTCATTTTGCTAGCCATCTATCCCGGTTTTTCTCCAGGCTTCAAGGCAGCTCTTCACTCAGCTTCAATCTCGGAAGCGACGCACAACGCTCACTTGTTGCATCTATCCAATTTCGACCCTGATCAGTTTCCATCGGTCCGCTAGTGCTTATGCAGCATCGCCATACGAGGGGCACTCTCCAGTATTCAAGCTTCTACCCACGCCTGCCGCTTTAGCGACTTCGTCTCAGCTTCTCCGCTCGCTGGCGGCAATGTCTGGCATGCCTGCTCGGACCTTTCGCGAGGCCAGTCGACCACACCAAGAAGTCGCGGAGCAAGCCTCCAACGCAAAGCCTAGAACCCAGCGGGAAAGCCCCTCAGCGACCTCTTTGACACGGATGACTGCCACTGGTCCCTTGTCGCCGAATTCCGTCCACAAAAGGTCACGAGACTCTCCTCAAGTGCACATCAGCTCCTTTCCTCGCCAAGATTCTGCTGAGGAGGACGAATTGAGTGATGACCCACCATCGCACCAAGTGCGTGATCGCAGCTCTCGGTCACACCGCACGCCTTCCACCAAACGTAAACACGGCAACATATCCACCCAGGCTTCAAGTCCGAAGCGCTCCAGAAACTTCATCGCTGACGGTCTTGCAGATCAAAAGGTAAGATCATCCTGAAATCGACTTTTTGTCAAGGTCTTTTATGCGCCCATTCCGACGAGAAGCTGATACTGTTGCCCTTTGACCTGCCGGTGCATCCTCTTCAGACTGCTGAGGCTCCACATGTGGCAGATCCGTCGAGCCGTGGCTCGTCTCCACAGGAACCCATTTCTGCCAAGTCCGACAATCGTCAAGAAAGTCTAGAGCATGATCGTCCATCGGCACGCTTGATGTCAGCATATGAGGTCGACACATTCCTCGATCTCATCTGCAAGCATCATCCGGAACCGTTGACGCCCGAGACTATGCGGCAGAGCGTTGATGCGTTGTATTCCGATTGGGAGCAATTCTGCTCTCGTCGTCAAGCTCCTCTCCGTTTTGCTAAGAAGCCGCTCATGGACGAGTATGCCAAGATCTTCAATGGTATATATGGTACCGATGCCCAAGATAAAGCACAGTCGATTGCTCAAGAGCTCTCACAAAGGTCATCGGGTATACTAGCTGGCAAACACGCGGCAGACAATGATCGAGATCAGCGCCTAGACAGCGGCAGCCGACACAGCGGAGCCTTTTCTAACACCGATCGCGAGACGGACGATGAGGGTGGCGTAAACGAAAATGATGACGACGATGATGACGACAACAACGACGATGACGATGACGATGACGATGAGGTCGATCCTAACGATGTCATGACGGCTGCCGACGCTGGCGCATCCGACGGGCCACTACTCGATTCGAAGACGAAGGAGGAGAAGGGCCGAGATGCATCGAAAGAACAACGAACGGGGACAGGCTCGTCAACGAAAAAGTCCAACATCGCTCGAGTCGGACGCAATGGTCTGGCCGTCCTTCCTCCAGGTCTTTTCGACATTTTGCGCACACACCTCCGCGACGACATTCTGTCGAGCATCATGCCATCGGTGCGCAACGACCTTACCGAACAGACCCGCGAGCTCTTTCTGCAGAATCAGGATCTCTTCGGGCGAATCAAGGAGATGGAGGATCGTATACGCAATCAGGATCTCTGGATAAGGCACCTGCTTGCTCGCGATCCATGGGAAATGGCGACGCCCTCAGTAGGACCGCACGTGAGCGCTACGGGAATGGCAAGCGCCGAAGCAAAGCCGATGCCATTTGCTGCTTCCGCGAGAGATTCGGTCAAGATCGGCAGACCTACCCGGCAAGAGCCTCTGCCTCAGGAAGGCGGTCCGGGATCTGCGGCTCCGCCAACAGACTACTTCGGGGGACCCTTTCCAAGATCTCCTCGACAAGATGTGCGCAACGATCCCCGACGCTTCCAGCAGCCGCAGCAAGGCTCATTCGAAGGACGCGCACCAGCAGCTGCACCGACACAGAGCGTTGTCGCTGGACCATTTGGATCAGGTCGATGGGAGCCGGAAGCGCTCCCTTCCCGTGTCTACCAAGATCGTCTGCCGCCCACCGATCAACGACAACCGTATGCAAATGAAGCCCCTTTTCGCAGGCAAGGGTCGTGGCACAGTGACGTTCAGCCTGGTCGAGACCTTCGTCAGCATCCAAACGAGTGGCATGACCAGTCAGAAGGACGTTACGAGCTGCCACCTCAAGGACCGCATTTCCGCCAGCAGCGACTCTCGTCTGGCGATTCCCGAAAATTGAGCGCCTTAGGGGCCGGCAACGCAGCTGTCCCACGCGGAGCACATGCAAGACCCTACCCTTCGGACGGATCGCCGCCGCCACCTTTGAGCACAACGCATGACGAATTCAGACGTCCTGGACCTCCGATGCTTCCGCGGGAGTCTGCCATGTCACCGAGACAGCCAGAGTACGAGAGCCGACGCATGCAGCCGAGTAGGCCAGTCCACCGTTCGGAAGCTTACCTTAGTAGCGGGGAGGCACTCAACGCATCTTTGCCACCACGGACCATGGCAGCTGGCTCGCCCGAGCAAATGCAAAGGAACAAGAGAGGCCGACCCAGCAAAGCCGAGATGGCCAACAGCGGTGTATCGTTCGGCACGGGTTCGCATGCTTCGGCGCCATCCAGGTCGTACTTGTCCTGACCAAAGCGCAAGCTACTCAAGGTTGCGACATTGCACGCTACTTCCAAATCCAAACCTTCATCCATGCTGCAGGAGAGCCGCCGTCTTCGCCCCCGATCAACCTTGGCTTCGACTGATCTCAGCTTTAATCACGCACTGCCACTCGTTGGCCAAGACGAAGTTCACACTCTTTACATGATTCTCTTGCCTCTATAATGTATAGTTAGACGTAATTTGTACACTTTCTAGGACTCTCTCGCGAGAAGCTTTTCTGCAGGGTGGAGTGAAAGTGAGGTGGTTGTATCCGAAGAGGGAGATCGTGAGTGGCAATCAGGATCGTGTGAGATTTAGCACGTTGGTGAACAGCAACCGCTGGAAGGTTGATTCGAGTAGGGGACTTATCCGGAGCAGACGGGCAGAGTGGTGTTGTTCTCGCGGGTGAAAGCGAGGATGTGATCGTTGATGACGCGATGGGTGAAACCTACTTCGCAGTAGACAAAGTAGTAGATCCACTTTCTTCGGAAGACGTCGACCTCCTTCTGGCGTGCCTGCTCGGGTAGGCGGCTGATCTCGTCGTGATCGCGCAGCAAAGCAGGACGGATGACTTTGTCAAAGTTGGCCTCGAAGCGGTTCTTCCATTCCCGCAGAGTTCTGGCGTAATGAGGACCGATGGAGACGAGGGTATCGAGGATGAGGTTGCCATTGCTTCCATCGGTGGCACCGTTGACGAGGGATGTGACCGAGGGAAGCACGCCGCCGGGGAAGATCCATTTTCGGATGAAATCGACGCCCTTATAGTAGGCCTCGGCGCGCGATTCTGGCATGGTGATGCACTGGAAAACCGCAACACCTCCTTGACGTTTGAGGACACGGTCGACGCACTTGAAGTAGGTGGGGAGGAACTCGATCCCTACAGCTTCCAGCATCTCGATGGAACATACGCGGTCGAATCGGTCGGTCCAGCTGGAAGGGAAATCGCGGTAGTCCATGAGGTGTACTTTGATCTTGCCCTCCATTCCGGCTGCAGCGATGCGTTGTTCTGCGAGAGCTTTTTGTTCGACGGAAAGCGTGACACTGTCGACGGTGCATCCGGTCTTTCGAACTGCTTCCATGGCGAACGAGCCCCAACCTGTTCCGATCTCGAGGACGCGATCACCTGGACGGATGTTGGCACGTTTGATGATGAGTTGCAGCTTGGTCTTTTGGGCTGCTTCCAATTCGTCGTAGTCGCTAGCGCGGGTGGTGACGGCGTCGCTTTCGGAGGGCGGGGTGGGAAGATCACCAGACCTTACCCCCGCGTTTGCTGCTGGCTCGCTGCTGTCGGTGTTGGCAGCAGCAGCGAATCTGAGAGGTTCAAAGACACCCGCGGCCGAGCTGCCGTGTCCGTTGGTGGCTGTGCCTAGCGCAGCCCTTGTCTGCTGGTTGAGCTTATCGAGCAAGGGCCCAGACACGTCCGCATCCAATGTATCGAACACTGCACAGGAATAGGTCATGTCCTTGCTCAAGAACGCCTTGTACATGGTGTTGCTGATGTCGTAGTGTGCACCGATGTTGCGCAAACTTCCGACCTTGGTGTTTGCGTAACGACGGTTGAGCAGCCCCTGTGCCGAGGAGATGAGCGAGCTGGCGACCGAGATGCTTTCGAGGTTGCTGAGAGAGGAACGATTGAGGATGAAGAGGTCAAAGCACGCGGCGAGGTCGGGTGTGTCGACATCGCCGATCATGTAGGCTTCGGCAAAGCCGAGATCGGCACCAAAGAACATTCGAGTCCAGAACGAGTCGGATTTGACGATGAGGATGGCATGCGGAGCCGTAGTTGAGCCACCACTACTTGCTGCGGCGGCGGATTCTGATTTGCTTCCGTCGCGGCTGCGCTGCTTGCTCCTTACGAGAGTGGGATCGCCAAAGCGATGGACCGTGCCGTCAAGCAGGCGTACTTCGAGCTGGCCAACAGTGAGCTTGGAGAAGAGCGCGAGAATGGAAGAACGCGCAATGGCTGCGGTTGGTCTCGCCAGAGGTGCCAGAAGCATCTGCGGCACGGGGATCGAGGGAAAGAGTCCGGTCATGGTGTCGTTTCGAAAAAGCTACCAGGTCCAAGCGCGGAAAATTGTACGACGAGGTGGATGTATAGCGTTGTGACCACCGATTCCGACAAGTTGGACCACAATTCAAAGCAAAGGGCGAGCCACGTTGAGGTAGCCTGTCTAGTCTTGGTGGAGCGACGAGATGAATCGCAAGGGGCAGGAGGGACTAGATGTTAATAAGGATGGCGGAAGTGAAGGACAACGGGAAGAAGGATGGAAATGGAGGAACAGGATGAATGGGCATGATCCGGCAAGGTGGACACTGTCAACGTGGGTGCAACGGAATGAAGGGCAGACGCGTGATTAGCTAGTCCAAGGCCACGGACCAAGCAAGTAGCATATTTGCCGCGGATCCTGCGATTGTCCCACACACACCCTCCCGCTCAAAAGAGCCAGCCGAGACGCACGGACAGCGGGAGAGTCTGAACTTTGAACAGGCGGATAGCGGATTGAAGCTGGGCTCTCAAGCGGAGAGGGGATCAGTAGGTTTCGCTCACGACTCGGATAGCGATGCTGGAAGCGAACGGCGATTGGACCAACGGAAGGGGCAAAGAAGACAGGTTGGAAGATCAGGCGATCTCGACTCAGGCACTTGACAGGCGGGTTCCGCGGATGCTCTGTGCTCTCCTCCACAGCAAATGGGACGGAGACGGACCCTGATAATCCCTCCGCCGCTTGTCTGTCATGGCACATGCAATCATCGACCCGTCTTGATTGCAATTCACTTGCACAAGCTGGGTATGATACAGGTCACCCGAATGGACCAAGATTGAGTGGGACACATCGAAGTAGATTGGAGCGGAGGAGGACAAGGAGGGCGGGACCATGTCACGTTCGGGCAATGCAAGTGAGACCAGACCGGTAAGGGCGGAGACTGGGGACGGACTTTATTATTAATATTATAATAGACAGGAAAGCTCGGATCGGACACAGGTCGAGTGCGGCGGAAAGCCTCGACGAGGACCTCGGAATGGGAGCGTGCCTCGAATGGCAGCACCCTGCATAATTTGCAATGTCGCTGCCCCAACGATGTGAGCTTGTTGAGGGTGGCTCGGTCTCAATCAAGGCTAACCCTAACTACAAGCGGGCTTCTTTGTGCCCCTGCTTGCTTGGATTTGAGGTATGCTTTACCTGACAAACACATGGGGGAGGTCGAAGAGAGCCGTCATGGTATGCGACCGCCGAGGCTGTATGTAGGTGTGGCTTTGATGCACGCTTACCTCTTCAAAACAGCAAGCTGCAGCGATCGTCGGGCGCGTCGTACACTATCGGCGGCGAATCTTTGCAGCGCATGCAGAAGCGTCAAAACCAGGCTGAATTATCAATATGTTACGCCGTCTTCAGACAAAAGACCAGGGATCGATCGGGCACTATCCTATTCGACATCGCCGACCGCCAAATGAGGTTACATTTCTGGCGCGCCACGTGCACGCAGCGGATCGCCCGGACGTGGGATTCAGCTCTGCATCTGCCACGTTCCAGGAGAGATAGACCAGGTGAGCCACTTCGACGCACCGCAGCGTCCACGTTCGATATCATTGTGATGGTTGATAGGCACAAGCGCGGGTGCCGTTCCCACACATCCTCTCAGGCGAAAGGGAACGTCACCCCGGGCGACGCCGTACGCCAAGTACGGCAGAATCCAAGAAGGCTGGCTCACAGGGGAGAGGGGGGTCAGTCGATTGGCTGAAGCATGCATGCATGGATGGCTTCGGGACAACCGTAGGCGCCTGCAAGCGTTGGATGCCTTGCAGGGGAGCGAACCACCATACGGCGGCTGTAGTCAAACTCTTATTGTCTGCATCGCTTGCTCGACATGAGCGGTGTTAGAAGGCGATCATGGTTATTCAAGCGCCGCTCGTCCAATCCGCTGTGCCGATGTGCCATTGAAGAAGTACAAAAGAGAATTTCGTCATTCTTTTCCGCACGGTCGGTCAATCATGCACGAGACGCTGCCAGCTGCCGTCGTTAGCGGATTTTCCGGTTTCTAGATGCATTGCTCTACCCAACTACTGAATTCATGGCCCATAAACAGACACTGCCGAGGAGCTTGGCCGAAAAAAGAACAACACACCTCGCCTCGGCACCTTCTATGAATGCACACAGTCTGTCAGAATTCATTTGTGCTTTTGTGCTGCCGAAGCTTAAAAAAAAAAGTGGGGCAATCCCACACTGTACATCAATGAAACACAGTCAAACGTGTCACACTCCACGCCAGAGTCAATGGCTGTGCTCACTTGTGTTATGCAGACACACCGCCTTCTAATCGCTGCAGAGGCTACCATACCACCATCATCCATAACAGCGTTCGTAACTGCGCCTGCTTTGGGTCTCTGGCCATGCTTCCCGACCACCAGTAGGCGCATCCAGCTGTGGTACAGCGATTGCTACACATGCCGCTCTGTCCTCGCGCCGCCGCGCAGGCGCTCCACTCGCCGCCTGAGCTCCAGCAGCAAGAGCACAAGGACGACGCTGCCTACTTTGACCATATCGACAACTCGCCTTATACGCTGCAACCGCCCACTCAATATGGCTCAGACCAAGAGCCACTCTTGGAGTCGCAGTCAGCTCAAATTCACACCATCTCTTCGCACTTGTCGTCGGAGACGTCTATCCTGTCTCGTTGCATGACACAGCTTCTTCGCGCATCCTTCAATCGCTTTCGATCGTCATCTGCACCGACAGGCTCAATGCCACGATCGCGCAAACCATGGCTGCCCATCCTTCTCCTCGCAAACCTGGTCGTCACCGCGGTCTGCTTTGTCGCTGCTTGCATCCACTTTAACACTTTCACCACGCTCTTCCTATACCTCGCCTCGCTCGTAGTTGCGTTCCCCCTACTATCCTTCTCCCTTTGCGCCGCTGGGCGAACTTCGCACAACTACAAGCTTCAGCTCCCCGACCTTTCGCCTAACTCAACGCCGCTGTCTGAGCAGTCCATCTCCTCCTTCTCAGACCTTTTCGGCCGGTCTTCCACACCTGTGCCTCAAGATAGAGCCACCCCAGCCGCTGTCCCGTCCCGGCGCAGGTTTTGTCGGTCCAGCCATCTTGAGTCTCTTGCTCGATCGGCTCTGTACATCGGAGCCATCCTATGGTTGCTCGCTGTTGTAGAGTGGATCCTTTTCCAGCCCTCCCTTCCTACCAGAAATGACGCGGGAGGAGGCAATTTTCGCCCCCTCGTCAATGCATCCCTCGCGACAGACACTACTCCTGCGCCGCCAATAAAAGTTTTCATCGTCTCGAATCTATACAACAGCGAGGAAATCCTGCCAACCTATGCTTCATCCCTCAAAACCCTCATCAGGACCCTCGGTACCGATAACGTGTTTGTCTCCATCTACGAGTCGCATTCCACCGACCAGACAAAGAGCATGCTCGCACAGCTTGATCACGACCTTGCCCAAGTCAACGTCAGCCGCAGGATTCTTTCCGACGATCGTGCCATCCGAAAGGGCAAGCTGTCTGCTGTGTCGGATCGCATCCGCTTCCTCGTCGACGTGCGCAACACAGCCATGCAGCCGCTTCTTGAAGCTACGGACAAGTACACTCATGTGCTGTGGATCAATGACATTGTCTTTACCCCGCAAGACGCACTCACGCTATTGCGCACCAACAACGGCCGCTACGATCAGGCGTGCGCAATCGACTTTATCGGCAACGGTTTCTACGATACATGGGTCACCAGAGATGCGCATGGCGACACGCTCAAGCGACAATGGCCGTATTTCAAGCGTGACGAGGACGTAGAGGCGATGCGAAAGGCGATGCCCTTCGAGGTCAATTCGTGCTGGAATGGCATCAGCGCCTTTGATGCCAAGTGGTTCTATCCCGCGTCCAAGGCCTCCGAGCCTGCATCTCTTGATGTTGCGGACGCCGACGAGGACGGACCGTCGCAGCTGCCTCTCAAGTTCAGAGCTTCAAAGTTGTGTCTGTCGTCCGAATGTCAGCTCATCTCGTACGACATCCACCGGGCCACGTTTCCATCACGTCCTTTGGTCCTCATCAATCCTGGCGTCAAAGTGGCCTACAACCACCGGCATTACTGGCTGTACAACTCGCTCATCCCGTCGCCTATCCTGAGGCCTTGGAGGATCATCTGGCGAGACTGGATCGGAAATCGTCTGTTTGGCTGGGTCACCGAGGGTCTCCGATGGAGCAATGAGTGTAAGTCGAAGCAAAAGTTTTGGGCTGCTGCGCCAGCGATGTCCACCGCTTAGATGAATCGTAACATGCAGTGTCACCGCCACCCCTCGTACGTTGTGGTCGTCTGAGTATGAAGCGACGAGAGAAGGATATCTCTCCTCAGACCATGCTTTGTGAATGAGACAAACATAAGACATCTGTTGCCAGGTCCGTATATAGAAGGTTCGCCCCAAGTTGAGTGGCTTGTCGAGATGACCACGCGTAGTCTGCGTCGATTACTAACTCGATCGCTTTCAGACTCACTCTTGAAGCTGTCCGGACAGTTGGAAAAGCATCGGGATGGACGGTCGCACTCCCACCGAACTGCAACTCGAACCAAAGTTGATACCTTCACTGACTGTAAGTTCTTCTTCGTCATGGGCGAAGCTGGTCGAGATGCGGCCTCTCACATGTATCTTTTGCGCGCTCTCGGGTCATCCCGTCGCACGACTTGGTTTCAGTACGCGCAGACAGGACTGAGTACAAATTGCGCAACTCATGCGGAGGGTGGAATGCAAACAGACAGTTGATATTGACAAGATCAAAACTGAAAGGACAAGATATGATGTGGCACAACGATGCTCTTACGACGAAGCCATGATGGGACGCTCCGAAGCCTTAGGGGCACCGACAGCCATGTCCTTCTTGATCTGAGAGATGGCCTTACCGGGGTTGAGGTTCTTGGGGCAGGTCCTGGAGCAGTTCATGATGGTGTGGCATCGGTAGAGGGAGAAGGTGTTTTCCAGCTTCTGTCTTCGCTCCTCGCCAAAGTCATCACGAGAGTCGGCCATCCATCGGTAGGCCTGCATGAGGACGGCGGGACCGAGGTATTCGTCCTGGTTCCACCAGTATGAGGGGCAGGATGTGGAGCAGCAAGCGCAGAGGATGCACTCGTACAGACCGTCGAGTCGTCGACGCTCCTCGGGCGACTGGAGGTGCTCGCCCTCGGCGGGGGTGTTGTTGGCCTTGAGGAAAGGCTCGATGGAACGGTACTGCTTGTAGAACTGGGTGAGGTCGGGAACCAAGTCCTTGACGACGTACATGTGTGGCAAGGGGTAGATCTTGGTGTCGTTCTGCTTGTCAATTCGGCAGAGGCACGCGAGCGTGTTGACACCGTCGATGTTCATGGCGCACGAGCCGCAGATGCCCTCTCGGCACGAACGACGGAAAGTGAGCGAGGGGTCAATCTCGTTCTTGATTTTGATGAGCGCGTCGAGGACCATTGGACCGGTCTGGTTGAGGTCCAGAGTGTACGACTGCAGACGAGGCTTCTCCGATGGCTTGTCGGGGTTCCATCGGTAGATCTTGAACTGCTTCAGGTGCTGAGACTTGCCTGAGCTGCCAACATTGTCAGAGGTGGGCGTGGCAAGACGGGCAGCGGCGGTTGTGGAGAAGGCAGCAGCGCGCGAGGTGCTGGCAACGGACGGGCGAAGGGCGGCACGAAGACCGTTGCTGGCTTTGAATAGCGACATGGTCTGCTGTCTTTTTGTGTGTGTGTGCGAATGAGGGGGAGGTGATGATGGTGAACAAGGAAAACGAAGGCGTCGACCAACATATTGCATTGTGCATCACCGACCGACTCTGGCTCGCGCGCTCCCCGCACGGCACGCACTCTTCCTGGCTGGGGGACGGACGAGACTGACGAGCAGTGCTGAAATTCGAAGGGCGGCGATGACACTGCGCTGTGCCGTGCCTTCCGCCGAGCTGATTACCAAAACACGCGGGCTGCCGTGAGTTGACTTAGTCGGCTTGTAGCGGCTTTTTTCGCATTTCCTTGAATTCAGTGGCAAAGGGTGAGCGACGCTTTCAAACAGACAGAGGCTCCCAGGCCAGCAAGCAATTCAGAGGCCCAATCAGAGTCGAGTCGATTTCAAACCAATCTCCTCAACGCGCACGCCTGACGAATTTTCTTCCGCCGTCTCAATTTAGCGCTTCGCCGCGCTGACATAACGCTCCACCGTCGCAAGTGGCACTTCACTTTCCCCGCCGTATCCAGCCGAAAATTGGGAATAAAGCTTCAATGTTAGACCTTTGAGATTCGTCAAGTTCCGCGATTCCCCGTTCTTCCTCGTGCTCATGTTGTCACCTTTCGATTCAACATTCGCAAAAGGGTTTCGGAAGTCGGCCCTGCTCCACACAACTCCCAAACTGGCTCGAGTCTGTCAAGTCATCCTTCTCGACTCCTTCCCGCAGAACGACGGCGACACACATGACAGACTCGAGGGACGAGGCGTCCGGCTCAAGGGGCGTGTCTCGCCCACGAAGAGATTCAATCTCGCCTCGTCGCGGGTCGAGCTCGAGATACGGCAGCTCCACGCGCGACAGGCACCGACAAGACGACGAGGAGCATCGACACAGAAGGTCCAGATCTCACAGGCAAGAAAGCAGCAGAGGCAATCGAAAGCACCGCCGCAATGACGATGATTCAAGACATCGCACAAGAGATACAAACGACGATTATGGGTCGAAGCGTCGAAGGGACGAAGAGCGACAAAGCAGCACGCACCGAAGCCACCGCGCCGAAGGTGAACGACATACTTCGTCACGAACATCAAGCCACAAAGGCTCGGACGGTCATCCAAGATCACATCGACATGACGCCTCATCTGATCGCCGAGATCGAGACTCCAGAACTACTCACCAACACGACCGCAGCGACCGATCTCGACCTCGCTCGCCATCACCCTCGGACTCGCCAGTGCCGCGCGCGACCAGCTCCGGCAATCGTTCCTCGACACGTCAGCTCTCGCCGATAGCACCTCAAAGCTTCGAGCCACCTGAAGAAGAAAGAGACGAAGATGCTCCAAACTTCGCGCCATCGGGCCTCCTCGCCGCTGAATCAAACACCGTCAACGGCGTTGCGCTCAAATACCACGAGCCGCCAGAAGCACGCAAGCCCAAATCTGCCTGGCGTCTGTACTGCTTCAAAGACGGTAAGGAGCAGCAAGTGCTTCATCTCGGCGCCCAGTCCGCCTATCTCCTCGGTAGAGATCGTACCGTCACCGACATCCCGCTCGACCACGAATCATGCTCCAAGCAGCACGCCGTGCTGCAGTTCCGTCAAACAACCACAACCAACGAGTATGGAGACAAGAAGAAGCGCATTCACCCCTTCTTGATCGATCTCGAGTCGAGCAATGGCTCGTACGTCAACGATAACGAGATTCCAACTTCTAGATACTATCAGCTCAGGACAGGCGACACGCTCACTTTCGGCGCTAGCACCAGGGAGTACGTCCTGCTCGACGAATCCTCGGCGTAGGCGCCAATATAAGACGCAAAGGCTGTTGCGGAGTTCGTCTTAGATTCGCTCGACGTAATTTGATGGAACGATACCGGTTCGACCGTCTTTGACCACTTGGCACCATCTGTCGAGAAGTAGCGTTAGAGAAGCGAGGATCGATTGTCAGCAGTCACTCAGACAAGCCAAATGCAAAGAAGCAACACTTACCCGTCTGCATAATTCATACCGACTGCAGTCAGCTCGGCTTGCTCGCCCGTTGCAAGCGAATGCTCGTCCTCCCCTTGCGCTGCGTAGTCATACATTGCTTTGACAAACTGGCCGCATCCTTGTGGTAGCGCTGCTCCACTGCCGCCACCTCCGTTGATTCCGGTGTCTTGATTGGTCGTTGGTGCTCCAGGAACAGCATCGCCGAATTCGCAGTATGATGTCGGTACGAGACCTTCTTTGCCAACGCCTGCACGGACCTTGATCCAGCCACTGCCGTCTACGTCGTCCTCGAGCAACTCGACGCGTTCGCCCTCGGCCACGCTCAGCTCGAACGGACTGGATGCGTGGAACGCAAATATGGCTCTGCCGGCGGGAGATGGTTCGCTGCTCTCGTCAGTTGCCGCCTGTGCCGAGGAACGGCTCGGTGGCGGCGGGACGCCCCTGGTTCTTGAGCTTCTCTCCGGCTTGCCGTCTGCGATGATGGCACTGGAACGTTTGGGTCTGCTCAAGGATGCAGAATTGCGTGGAGAGCCGGAGCTGGCTGCTATGCCGCCTCCTGGAGCCGCTTTGCACTCTGCTGGCACCTTCATCTCACACTTCTGATGCACCGTGTACCCACACGGCTTGCACACCGATCCCTGCTTGGACAATCCCCAGATCTTGTCGCCACAAAAGTGGCACGTCGTGGGAATACCGAACGAAGCGGGCTTGAACAGATGAGGGCGTGCTTGTCCTTGATCGTCACCAATGTCGGCCACGATAGTTTCCACTTCGGCCTCGAGATCGTGCAGCTCGATCTCAAGCGCAGACAGTGTGCGAGTCGCTTCGAAGAGGTTGTCCTCAACTTCGTCGGGGTTACCGAGATTGTGCTGCTTGCTGTAAGCATCGCGCAGATTCTGCAATCCATCCACCTCTTTTGCTTTGGCTTCGACCATAGGCTCGAGTTCGGCGATGCGATTCCTGCATCGCATAAGTCGATTCTGCAGAAAAGTGACGGCGGAAGGCTCGGTCAACATGTCCGAGGTATCAAAGAAGCCTACGCATGGCTCGAAGGACCACCCACTGGGTTCCTGCCATCGTTGCTGGTTGTGTTCAGCGAACAGCGTCTGATCTTGTGTTGGATCGACTTGCGCCGCTCTCGCTTCCAAATCTCGATGTTTCTTCGCTACCGATTCGTGGTGTGCAGCTACGGTGGACTGTGCTTGAGCAGCCGACTCGGCAAAGCGACGTGTGGATAGTGTCCAGAGCGACTGCAAGCTGTTCTGCACCGCTGGCAAGTCGTTGCGGTAGAAGCGCTCCTTGGCGCGGTTGGACACGGCGATCTGGATGAGGTAGCTGTTCTTGCCATTCCACATGTCCATCTCCGCCGACTGAAAGGCTTTCGAGGCACGATCCGCATGCCGATCTCCTGAAGCCGCTTTCTCGCGCTTCTGTCGCTGGGAATCGAGCTCGTGACAAAGCTCATCGTACTTTGCTTTCGCCTTGTCCTTGTCCGAGTAGGTCTTTTCGCGATCAGAGAGTAGCTTGCTGGCAAAGGCGACATGTCTTCTGCGAAGATCTTCGCGAGCCTTGGTGCTTGTGATCAGGCTGTTGGAGAGCTGGTCAAGCGTGGTAGCGAGATTCGTATGGTCGGCGGCGGTAGCATCGTGTGTGGAATAGAGATCGGTGATGTGAGTTGCGAGAGTGGATTGGGCATGCTTCCATTCGATTGTGGGTGTTGGGCCGACAGAGATTTCTTGCTCTTTCTTGGTCTTCTTGTCGCGATATCTGCGAACGAGCGTCTGGAGCTTGGCGGCGTAGTCGCGTTCGAGCGCGGCTCGCTCTGCAAGGAACGATGCAACGTCGTTCTCCAAGGCGAGCTGGGCTGATAGAGTCGCCGCGATCGTTGGGAGCTGGTCTGGCAGCTGGTGACCAAACTCGACCGCCGACTCGCTCATGGTAGGTGGGCTGGCGAGCCGTGTTCAGACCGTAGTGCAAACAAAGGGTAGTGTGTCAAGAAGATATGGTTGTGCAAGTAGTCGGGCAAGGTGTCACATGCACGCCTCGCTTATGGAGAAGTGTAACTTTCGAGGCTGTGCACCGTGCCCGTGGCGTCATGACGCAGACGAGCCAAGTACGACATCTTTGGATTTTTGACGCCTTCATTTTCAATCCTTTTCCTATTTCCAACTCAATGGCTTCGTCGGCCTTCAAAGATCCATTCATGGGTGGCAGTCCACGGTATAAGCATCTGCATCAGGCACGCAAAAGCAAGCCAGACGGGTCGGTATGGGTATCTGAAGCTCGTATTGACTATCACATTAGAGAAAAACACGTTGTTTTCTTTGAACATCAGGACCACTCTTGCCATGCCTAGGCGGTGGCGAGCGGCACCTTGTTCTCAGCCGACTGCGTCGAAGCGAGACCGTCCTGATGTTGAGGATGTTCCGGAAGCCTAGCACTCCCTTGCACGGCTTTGCGCGATGTTATCGAGGTCCTCAGCAAGCGTGTGGCTTCGACGATCCAAAATACGGCGTACAGGCCGACCTGGACACCGACATCGATCATCTCGTCGCTGAGCAGGTATTCAGTGCCCAAGCGGTCTTCGACGCCCTTGAGCTTGCCCATACCGCCGAGCGCGACCGAGGTGAAGGCAACGAGCAGCGTCCAGAAAGACCAGATCGTCAAGCTCACAGCAGGTGGGCTGGCAGAGCGTAGATGCATGAGGACGAGCACGATGAGGATACCGGCCAAATTGAAGGGGAGAAGACCCACTCCGCGGTTGGCTAACGCCAGACGCACGATTTGAAGAATGTCTGTTGGTCGTATACATGCGAACAAGATTGTGGTCAGTAAGTGGAGCACGAAAGAGCGAGCAAGGCATCGAGACCGATCAGCTACTCACTCATCAGGAGCGCTGCAACGACGAGCAGCGTATACAAGATATCCATGCTGATGCGAAGTCTCGAGTGTCTTCCGCTAAATTTGCTGTCGTTGCGGTAGGCGTTGGAGCTGTAATTGATCAGCCTGGACGTCGAGCTTGAGTTGTATCGCTTGCGTTTCAAGGCGAGTCCGAGCAAGGGCAGCAGCACGAATAGCAGCACCCATGTTGCCAATGGTTCCAACACCACATCGTTGAAGCACGTCGTGGTGACGCCTTGCGGCTTGGTCGAAGCGAATCCGAACTGGTTGTCGTAGCGCAACCCGCACAGAGCTCGATGCGCCTTGGGCGGGTCTCGATTCATGGCAGAGTTGGTGTTTCCCATGCTTGCTGGAGTACTATGGACGAGAAGCCTGGACGAAGCACGGCTGTGGACACAGTGATGATGATGGTGGGCCGATACCATGCGAATGCAACATCTCTTCGTCCTTTAAGTGTTCTCAGCCCAATTCCACTCTCCTGCGGTCTGCTTGATCTGCCCATCAAAAGTCAAAAAGGCATTGCAGATCCCAATGCCGGTGTTTGGACTTCTTGGTTAAAGTCGGATGCACGCCTCAGGCATGTTCGGAGCGAACCAATTTCCGCGGTACGGCACGCAAAGCCGCCAGCTCTCCGTCAATCGGGCTGCAAGAAGACGTGGCGCGCGCTACATGATCCCTGAGGCGAGTGCAGCACAAGTGGCATGATTTCCTGAGTGCCAGACGGTCGGACGAGATGCGGCCATCCAACGCCTCGTGCAGCTGCGAGACGCTGCCGAGGTTGTCCAACCGTATTTTGATCTCGCTTAAGACTACATCTTGAACGCTCAAGCCGCCGGTCTTTGCTCGAGCTCGGCAGCGTGGACACAGTGCAGGAACATCCAACCTGGGCAGCTGAAAGACTTAAAAACATATTGTCACTCACACTGAGATAGGGTCTAACAGTCTCAATCCCAATTCCTCCACTTGCAAGTCAACTCGACTTCCGGGAGACGGGCCAGACTGTATGACTCTGTGGCGAGAAGAATGGCCAATCAAACGTTCTTCAGCCTCGTGCACGCTACTCGGCTCTCGCTCACCACCTTAGCTTCGTCGTCGTCACGTCTTACACTCGCCAATGTTGGGCACATGGTCTAGAGCGGCTCGCGCCGACCTCAAGGCGAGCCAGCTCACCCTCGAGCACTTCCTCATGCGCTCGCGCACCCTGTCCCTGTATCGCAAGTACGTTCGCGCAACCAGAGACATCCCGTACCCATCAGCACGATGGGAGACCATCGAATTCTTTCGCGATGACGTTCATCGCTTCCGCCACGAGACCGATTTGGAGCGGATCAAGGATCTCTTGATGCAAGGTCATCGCTTCCTCAAACAGATGCAAGGTCAATGGACGTTGGCCGGCGCCTCATCCGAGGGCAATAATGCCAACAAGCTCCGAGGTACACGGCAACTCTAACTCAATATCGCGCATCCAGCGGAAAGTCTCGAGGCTCCGGATAGATCCTACTTGAATCTTCTCCTGGGTCTTTACAACGCCAGTCTTTCCAGCCTGCGCCTCCTCGGCGCGATGCTTAGCCTCCGCGTGCAGGTTGAGAATCTTGACCTTAAGGAATGGCAAGATCGTTGGTACCGCCAGTGTCAAAGCCCGCACAACCTACGTCGCAGTGCTAGACGCATCGGTCTCTCGGTGGTGTCGCGAACGATGGACATCACCACCGCCTTCTCGGGACAGGCTGTGCCAATCACCCAGCAGCCGCCACCCGTTTTTTAAGGCACCCCCCACCTTGCATCAGCATCGGGGGGAAAGGAGACATGCTCAATCACAATCATCCGTTGCAATGCAACTTCGATCTCGACTGGAATCCACCACGGGTCAACGAAAGTTGGGCTTCTCGGGGTCCAAGGGCTTTCGAGTCTTCGCATGCGGTCTTCATGTCCTCTGTAACCGGTCAATATACCCTTTCGTTTCATAACAGTCAGCACACGTTACATGAGGATCCTTTATGCCGTAAAGGTGCTCGATCAGGACGGCTCAAGTGCCGATCGAGTAGGTGATGTACAACACATATCCGGTGACGACAATCGCGATGAGCAAACCGCAACCAGCAGCTGTCCAGTTCTTGATCGGCTTTCGAAGCGCCTCTTGCCTCTCTTGCTCGGATTCCGTCTCCCTCTTATGCTTGAGTTGGCGTTCGTTCAGCTTCAGAACGCCACCAAAGTAGCGCTTGTCGATCACGTGGTACAAAAGACCATAAACCACATCTATGGCCTTGAGCGCGATCAGGAAAGCGAACGCGTTTCGGAACTGGGTTTTGCCTCTCGGTGTGAGGTCCTGAATCGCACCGAAAGCAACGTCCATGGTCACCGAACCAGCCGAATTGAAGCACTTCCACACCCCGAAAGCCGTGCCGATCGAGGCTTGATTGGGGACGAGTAATGGAATCGAAGCGATGAACGGAAGCACGTTGAATGAGAGCGCGATGCTTCCGAGCACCACCGGAAGGTAAGCGTTGACCGTGGAGAAGGCAAGCAGCGAAAAGACGACCACCCACAAAGCCGCACATCCTGCGACGTAGTACATTCGTCGGCCGAACAGGTCCAGCAAGATTCCGAGGAGGGGTGTCAGGACGATCGGTGGCACTTGTCCTACCGACGATGCGTAGCCTGCCATGAGCGCCGTCTTGCCGCGAGTGATCTCTACCACCTCTGCCAGATTGGAGGTGTATGTGTTGACAGTGCCCGCCTGCAGCACCTGTGTCATGGTGATCAGCCAGAACGACGCGGGGATCGCACCTATGCTCAGCGTCAGTACCTGCCAGCAGCGCTGCGAGAACGGTCGAAGCACCGTCCTCTCAGGCTTCTGCTTCGCGGCAATGCTGGCGGAAGAGTTGTTGTTCGAAGACGACGCAGTAAATGTCGATGCTGCTTGCGCTGCGAGCTGTCGCCCTGTCACCACATGCATCTTCTTGGGCAGAGTGCGCTCGAATGCGACGTAGGCAGCATTCAGGATAAGCGTGATACCGCAGAGGATGGCAGAGAGCCAGAAAGACCAGTACCATTTGCCGGTCGCTTCTGCCACGGGTACCGAGCTCATCTTGCCCATCACGTTGAACACGCGACCCATGGCAATGTCAAGGCCGTAGACGAAACCGAGCCAGCCGGCACTCGACAGGGCACCGTGCCACTTGTTCGACTTTTCGGCCCGCTTGGCTTCGGTATCGTCTAGGTGGCCCTGGCCGACAGCTGTGCCATCTCTGCACCAGTGAGTGTAGAGCTTCGATTGGCTGGTTTCGATGGTGGTGCTGCCAAGACCAAAGATGATTTGACCGGCGAGGATCGTACCAAAACTGCGACGCTGTCCTCCTACGGCTCGGATGATAGTTCCTATGAAGATAGCAGTCGACGAGAAAAGAGAGGTGATGCTAGGGCCGTAGTAATCCACCATGATGCCCGAGAACAGTGGCAGGATGCCATTGACTAGGTGATCGGCCGATGCGATAGTTCCGTAACGTGCATTAGTGACAGACGGGATCTGCTTCTTGATGGTGGATTTGAGCGGGGAGAGCGACGACTGAGCAAAATTGCTTCCGAGCGTGAAGAAGAGAATCATAAGGATAGCAGGCAATCTGTGCTTCCATGTAGCGCCTACAGCGCCCGACTGAGCGTCGACGAACCACACCTCCTCGTCATCGTTGACAGCAAGGTGAGGTACCACGGCGAGAGGCTCGGGCTGGTTGCTTGTTTTAGGGCCTTTCTCGGCGATGCTAGAGATTGACGATTCGGTCTCGACTACGTCTTCAGCGTTCATCGTGGCTGGAGAAGCTTCGATTGCACTATCGTTGGTTCTGACACCAGCGGCGAGACTTGATTGTAAGGGTTGCGACATGTCAGTGAAGCATGGAATCACAAGGATCGCGTTGATCTGCTTATGGTACTGTCGAGATGGATATCAGATTAAGGGATGAGAAGGTGTAGACATGGGGGATGGGGGCACAAGCACAGGAAGAAGACGGTCTTCATAAGGACAAAGTGGCGGCTTGGAGCCGCGCGATCATTCTGTGTAGCGAGCCGCACTGTACAGTCTATCACAGAAGGCGCAAAGCGACTCTATTGGTTTCGATGCGAGGAGGAGCTTTGTGAGCAGGGAGTTCGTCCACGATGAGCGCCCTGAGAAGAATCGGCGCGTCCAATCAGATAAGATTCACCCGAAAAAATCGGCTAGCGACTGACATGTGCCATGTGCCTGAGAACGCCTGTCGGCGATGCGAGCAAAAAATTCCACCATCAGTTCCCCTGCCACAGAGCTTGCCTATTGTTCGGTAAGAGCCGGGATAGGTGCTCTGAGTGACAAGGGTGCCAAGAGAACCGGAGCTTCAAATTCTGCGTCAACGCTCGTATCAGATAGCCAGCATGCAAGTCTTCTCAGAGCCGATCAAGGTTTGCAGGAACGAGAGTTGAACCTGCATGAGGAAACTTTCCAGCGTGGTCTTCGCAGTCCGAAACCTATTGACAAGGTCCGAAGCCTTTCTGCAATCAGCACTTGAGTGCTTTGACATTTCAAGTCTTGGCGACTGAAACGCAGAAGTAGCCTGTCAGCGCACGAAATCCGCTCGGTGCTTGTGACGCCGGTCGGCCAGCTTGTTTCCCGCCTCTTGCGGATTGCGTGTTCACGACGAGATCTCACGCTAGTTTGCAAGGGCTCTAGCGGACGCCATTGCTAACGAGGACTCGAAGCTCAGACACGGACCTCTAAACATGCGGTGACACAGACATGAGAACAAAATGTGCACACGTACACTAGCAAAGATGTACACTGTATTTGCCTGAACAGATGCGCTCGGAAGGCGGGCCCTGATCGTATCTAACCGAATCTTTCACCAGTTGAAACAGTCTTCGACGAGTGTCACGTTCCAGCCTTGTTTGAGCATCACTACAGCCTCGCTCCGAACAGCGTCGCACATGGTGGCTGGTCCGCAAGACGCGAAGACCAAATTGTCCTTCATATCCTCCATCGGAACGTGGTTGTGTACCAGTGCCATCGATGTGGGCCTGCCCTGGAATCTTCTTATTCGGATTAAGGCGTCAATTGGTGTTTCCGACAGGATATCATGGGACACGGACAATCTGCTGTGAACTTTGTCCTGCCATGTCAGGCTGGTTTCGAACGGTCTCTTAGGCGAAGAGGCACCGCTCGGCGAAGTACTGCAGACGCTTTCGGATGCCGAGTGGCTGCTTTCTAAGCAACGTGACGGTGTGCAGCCAGATTTCCAGGTCGATGGCTCTGCTGCAGCTTCCGAAAAGTCTTGTGAGCTTGCTGATGGCGAATACTTGTTGTCGAAAGTCAACGAGGTCGGAAGGCCGCCCTTGAATTGCAGGGCCCGTTCTTCTGCAGTACAATATTCCATGTGTACTTGCTGATATATGGGTCCGAATCTTGGGAGGACGAGCAAATGACATGGTTCACCCACTTCCATCCCTGGTGAAAGCTTCGAAGCAGAATGTGAAGGCGATGGAACAGAGATGGATGAACCCGTGTGTCTTGGAAGAGGAATAGAAGACATCAATTGAAACGTTGACGACATGATGCTTTCTTGCTGGATCGGCTCTTGCTGGGTCGGCTCTGGGCTTGCTGGTAATTGCCCATCGGGCATCTGGCGCAGGTCATGAGATAAGCCGCTAGGAACTGTCCTAGCTTTTGACGTCGTGTAGATGTCGATCGAGAGCCTGCACGAAGCAGACCCCTGGAGCTCAAGCTCGCGGAGGAGCTCGGACAAGCCGTCACGCAGGGCGTCTAGGATGCCTTCGTCTCGGATGATCCAAACAAGCTTGCAGGTCTCGAGGCCGGTGAATCTGCCCAGAGCTGCCTTGACAAGCAACGGGTAGCAGAAGGTGATCGCGATACCTCCGGCGACCAGAACGGCATGTCTGGCGCCTTCCAGTGAAGGGCTCCTTCCAAATGGGCCATCAATCACTACCCTGACTCGCCTGCCCTTGTTTTGAACTGCTTGCTTCAGAAAATCGTCGTTGGGGATCCGCAGGCCGTCTGCCTTCGAACTGGAGAGTTCCTGGGCTAGCACGGCCAATTTCTGTGTCAGGCCAGCTTGACGCTGAATGATGAGATCCACGTAGCCCATATTCGGACCGTCCGACTTGCGACGTCCCACGGCAAACACTGAAAACGGGTGATCCGAAAACCACTGCAATCTTGGTATGGTGATGCGAATATCATCGCCAGCGCCTATGCGTACGATTCCGGACCCTGGGTGAAAGCGCAAGCGGCTGTGACTGAGGCCGAACCACTGTCTTGGACCCTTTCCTAGCTCCATGGAGGAGTCCGACCTCGACTCTGAAGGCGTTGAAACGAGGCGCAGCCGAGAAGCCGGGACTTGAATCCGCAGACGCGTGTATGCGCCGTCACCGTACGATTTGAGCTCAGCCTTACGCGTAGCGCCGGCGCCGTCAGCGTAGCGCCACGAGAGGGACATGGCAACGCGACCCAGCAGACGAACGAGCCTATCAAAGGCCCATAATGCCGCCGAAAGCTCGATGACGAAGATCTGCAAAGCAAGCTGGAAACGTCACGGAGAAAGTGAGGAGGAGGTCAGCTTGGCCTACTCCAGCCATGTTTTGCAGATTGGCGCTTTCTAGTCAGGAAACCTACCCGTCCTTGGTGGAGAAGCTTGATGTGCAGATACGTAAATATGAGCATGAGCACTGCCATGCTGATGTGGAGGAACACGAAGACCTCGTAGTGCCTCTTGCGCAACGCTCTGAGCGACAGGAACACGAGACCTGACAGCATAGTGACTGCCAAGATGCCCAGCTGCACTGGCGGGTGCTTCAGGCTTTCTCGAGCCCCGATGCCGAAGTGAAAGATGAGAGCATTGCAGAGAACGTGAACGATGATGTGCAAGTAGCACATCCTGGCAATCCAGCGATGGAACAGCATCAGTGTGTTCATCGAAAGTTGGCTGAGCAGCGCTACCGGCGTCCGTTTGCTCGCTAGCAAAATCAGCATTGGCAACTGACCTATGCCGAGCATGGCGCAACGATTGGCTAGGTGCCGAAGTATCTGAGATCGCCGACTGACCGAGTCCGTGCCGACAAAATACGTGTTGTGGCCGACGTAAAGCGAGTAGAAGCTGAAGTAAGGAACGACATTGAGGATCATCATGACGATCAGAACGGCAGTCTCCAGTCGGAGTGGGACATGCAAGGTCAGCCAACGCAGGCATCCCGAGCCACATCGAATGACCTGAGAGTGCTTTTCGGATGCAAGAGGGTGCTCAGAGATGTGGCCTCTCCACCACGAAGTCCTTCTCGACAACGCATGATGCGCGCGGGGCAGCAAGACTGCGAGAAGTGAGCTGAAGCCCGAAGCGAGAGCCAGAAACAGGAAGAGGCTCCATATCAGGAAGCTGTAGAAAAGAAAATGTGGGTCGGAGAGGAATGTGGACACACGTCAGCTGATATTACGCGTCAGCCGATAATGCAATTCCTCCAGCATATACGGATGAGGAAGAACGACGATGGTGACTCACGTAGCTACACAAGGCACCTTGTACGAGTTGTAGTAGTAATGTCGAAATGTTGCCCATCCGTATTCCTTCTGGTCGTCCGGCAGCTTTGCGATCTGTTCCCATGCATAAGCGTCCAGCGTCCAGGGAGGAGCAATCATTCTGATTCGTCAAACTTGCCGCGACGTGATCCAAGTCGCCCGTCGAGTGCGCAGGCGAGCAATGCAAAGTTTATGGAAAAGCCAAAGGCTAGGAAGGTGAAGTCAAGGAGATTGAAAAGGTGGAGAGATTGAGAGGGCAGGCCCATCCGATAGCAATCTGGACGGCATTGATTATAAATGTCTGGTGTGATATCGATTCACGAGCATACAAGCATCAGGCTGCGCGAGGCAGGTCTGGAGCCGGGAGCTATGTGGAGCCGTGTCGCATACTTTCGACCTGTGCAGGAAAGCCTGACCAGCTACACGAGCAAATCCTGACGCATCACACCATTCTCGTCGCTACAGTGTACAACAGGCACCTTCTGCCCCTCAGCCGAGGCGGTGAAGCGCAAAAATCGGATGCTCGTGTTTGAGCGGCGAAGCTCAAGGCTCGAGAACCGATGATAAGGCCCGAGCTGCTCGCTTCCGATGCGTATGTTCATTCAGCACTGTAGAGGCCAAAACCGCCGATGCTGACGTCTGGATCCGGCATCTGTCGCCCACTGCACCTTCACTTTGGAGCCGGAGGCGCCGACGAAGACTGGCTTTGGAAGCGGTCGTTCCACCGAGGTCTGCATTCTCGAGAAGACCTGAATGTCCATTTCGGGAGGAAATGAGATTCGCAATCCAGGACAATGGAAGCGAAAGCGGGCCCCATCGCACAGGATGACACGTGAGAAGATGTGCGCAATCGGTACTTGACACGAAGGCAGAAGCGAGCTTGCGATACGAAAGCAGAAAATCGGGGTCCAGAACGTGTTTTCCTTTCTCCCCAGCTCGGGCGCGACGATGTTTGACACAAAAGTCTGAACCTTGGGGTAGAGAAAGTAAGTAGTAGGTCTCGGAAAAAGTGGCGTACAGCGGAAAGACGATGTGAGATATTATATTATTAAATAATACGCCGAGACATTTGCTTGGCAGTTGAGAGACGAGAGGAAAAGCATGCTGGACAGCTGCAGGCTTGGATCGTTCGGAGATTTTGACTGAGCGAAGAAGCTCCAATTTGGCGTCACCGCCGATGTTTGACGTGCATGAAATCATGTTTCTCGGAAAGTGAAGCTCGGTGCTCGTCAATCTCCTCTCGGATCGCATTTCTAAGGCTGTCCACCAACTCCCACTGCGAGCCGAGGCAGCGGCCCGAGAGGATTCCGGGCTTGAGCAGACGAGCTCGAGCGTCCTGACGTACAAGGTATGAGTCGCTGTCAGGAATCAACACTGGCGAGGCTCGACAGCGCACACAAGTCGCTTCGGCCGCTCGCCCTCACTCGACCACTAATGCTTATCCGTCCCAGCCGAAATAGGTTTCACTAGAAGGAGGGTCATCATCAGCAACTCAATCTCCACGACGTGGGCGGCCATGTGCATAGCTTCATGTTCTCTTCGTGCAGAAAATTTACATCCATCACGAGCGTCAGCTCTGCAGTTGCGTGACTTCATCGATCACCACGTGAAGCAGTCTTCCACCAAGTCGACGTGGATGCCTCTTTTCATCAGGCTGACCGTTTCAAATCTGACGTCGTCGCAGAGACTTGGTGGTCCACAGAGGCAAACCTTGAGTCCTCTGCTATCTCGCAGCGCCTTGTCGTCCAGATGTCCGACCAATGCTACAGGCAGCTCCGCGGGACGCCCAGAGGAGATTGTGACCTGCACAAGCTCGCCGTCGGCTCGGTCGTCGAACAGGATTTCTCGCTTCTCTCGACAGGCCGACTGCTTCTGTTGCGGAACCATCGATAGCTTCGACAATTCTACGACCTCGTCGACGAATTCATCCGAAGGGCTCGAGCATTCGCCGTGGGCTTGTGACGGCACTCGAGATATCTTTTCCTTGATCGAATGGGAAGATGACGAGCGTGGTGGCATGGGATCAGGCAACTCCTTTGACGATGAAGTGTCGAAGGTGGGCTTGATGCGTTCTTGCTGCCAGTCAGAGCTCACGTAGATGTCCATCGACATCCGACATTCTCTCAGCCCTCCTACGGCCTTCATCTCCTCCGCCAGCTCCGCAAAGGACGCCCGCAAAAGCTCGAGCGTAGCTGGGCAGTGCACGAAAGAAGTTGAGGCAAATGTAGTAAGGAATGCAATCGTTCGTCAGTTCGCCGCTGACACTTCTTTGTCGAATCTTGATCTTGCGCTACTCACCTTGTTTGCGAACAATCCAGATCAACTTGCATGAGCGAAGATTCGAGGTGGCTCGAACCCTGAACGCAGACACAAAGATCGGCCAGCAGAAAGTGATAGCAATGCCACCAGCTACCAGGACCAAGTCGGTGGCTTCATGAATGTCTGGAACGACTCCGAATGGACCCTCGACCATTACAGCAACGCTCGAGCCTTTCTTTTCCTGGTTGGCCAGCTCGACGTCGGAAGACTTGCCGACGTGATGAGCAAGCTTGCGTGTCAATCCGGCTTCGGTCTTGATGAGGAGATCAATGTAGCCCTGAGCTGGATCCTCCGAGCGGGTGCCGACGCCGAACACCGTGAACGGATGCTCTCCGACGAACTGTAGACGGGGAATGGTGATTCGGATGTCGTCGCCAGCGGCGATGCCAAGGAGGCTATGCTTATTGGGAAGGCGAAGCTTGCTAACCGGAACCGAGATGCGGAGCTTCGAATACTCTGCCTCTTGGCCGTACGTGCAGATCTCTGCTGTGGAACACTTGATCAGGCGAGATTCGGACTTCGAGGTCGAAGCGGCGTGACGTGTTACAGAGAACGAGAGCCATATGCGGACGCCGAGCCGAACGGCACGATCGAAAGCCCACATCGCGGCTGCAATCTCGGTCATGACCTTGAACATCTGGAACTGAAAAGTTGAACAAGTTATGACGACGACAGATGCCCAAGGGTGAGTATGACGGGGTCACGGGTGACGGCTTTTGCTGGAACAAGTGGACTTACCTTTGGAGATCCGATCAAGGTGATGTGCAGATACGTGCCGAGAACAGCAAAGAAAGCCATCACGAGGTGGAGCATGACAAAAATCTGAAAACATAATCACACAAGCATCAATGAATCTGTCCGCAACTTGACGGGGTCCTACTGGGTTGTTGACTTACTTCGTACGAGCGTTGACGCAGAGCGCGAAGAGAAAGAAAGACAAGACCCGACATCATGCAGAGACCAACGATGCCCCACGCGATGTAAGTTTCCTTTAAAAGCTCAGAATAGCGATGCCTTCGAACGTAAATGGCGGTGTAGGCGCTGGCGTGTGTGAGGATATGCATATAGAACCATCTGGCGATCCATCGGTGGTAAAGCATAAGACTGTTCATGCCGAGACCCGACACAATCGCCAAGGGTGTCCTCTTGCTCGCCATGAGAATGAGCAGCGGAAGCTGTGCAGTCCCTAGAATAGCAGCTCGGTCGGCCAGATGCCGGCAGATCTGGTCACGTCTGCTGGAGGCTCCCGGGTAAATCAAGTTGGCGCCGACGTAAAGATCGTAGAAGGCAACAAGAGGCAGGAAATTGAGGAGCGATATCAGGAAGATGACCAGCGCTTCTCCTCGTAGAGGAATCTGGAGAGTTAGCCAGTCGAGGAAGGGCAACGATGCCACTGCAGCGTGTTTGCGCTTGACCAAAGCGTGCTCGAACACATGAGCACGCAGCCATCGCAGTTTTTGCTTGCACGTCGAGTGCAATGATGGCGAGCTCCAAGATAGAAGGCTATTGCCGCAAGCGACCATAATCAAGAGGATGAAGAGGCCATAGATGGTGAACCTTTATATCGTGTGACCGAAAGCCACGATAGGGTCGGCATTAGGTCAGTTCCAAGTTTCCTAAGAAGGAAGCTGATCAGGTCGAGCGACTGAATGCTGCTACTTACGCGCTGAAGCAAGGTACTTTGAAGGAGTTGTGATTGTGGTGCTGATACGAGAGGAGGCCGTGTTGTCGCTGGGCAGGCGGAAGCTTGTTGATGCGGCCCCAGGTCTTCTCATCGAGCACCCAAGGCTTTTGAATCATGCTGACGGAGAGAAACGTGGCGCTGATATGACTTGGGCTGTGTCTCGTACAAGAGCAGGTGTCGGGAGGTGCCTTGATGCCTTTGATACGACAAGCAGGATGGCGGATTGCATCAGACGATGTCAGTGTGATGCGGGACAGACAGAGGAACTTGCCTTGCTCAACCGACAGTACTTATAAGTGTCGAGAATTGAGGATATCGCAGAGCGTTCTGGCTGAGAACAAGACAGAAAGAGTCGTCAAAAATCAGCAGCTATGGAGCCAATCGTTGGGTTGCGCAGTCGCTGGAGGCCAGCCAAGATTGTCGCCTCATCCATTGTAAATCGCTGCCATCTGCGACGAACTGCCACACGGAGGGTTCTGCTTTTGTGTCTCGAATTCTCCTCAACACTTCTCTCTCATTCAGCCATCAAGACCCACTCGGGATGGGACAGCCTTCCAGTCAAGACACGCTTATCAGATCCCAAGGGTAGGGCATCAGTCAGCGCGTATGCATCCGACAACGACACGTTGAAACTACGTTCGTAGGCCAAATGTGATTGGCTAAAGGTGTTTGTGAGTCCTCACAGCTTGGCCCATGCGTGGTTGACAGGCAAGGAATAGACAGGACCGACGGCTCACTGCCGAGAAAGCGGGCTTCGGGGGAAGGGGCGGCGTTGACCGCTCGCACAGAAAGCTGCCAGGTGAAGCACCAGCTTGAGTCGTCTGAGACTCATAAAAAAAGTCCATCGGAAGCTCCGAATAAAGGCTCCATCGGCTTTGAGAGGCAGCTGAGCCGTCTAATTTGAAAGACATTCGGAAGCGCCAGCCCGAAACGACTCTATCTCTACGGCTCACCCGAATGAAGGACCGAAGCGGAGTGCGACGCATCGGACTCAGCGCAGTCTTGAGTCGGTCATCTTTCTTCGGCGCGGACGGTTCCGACGAGCATTTCAATAGAGCTTTGAGGTTGGTTGATTTTAGTTCGAAGGGTGTTTCGTGCATCTTGTGCATGGCAATGGCGGAGTACGAATTTGGCTGCGTCGACGTCCACTAGTGCCTCGAATGCATTTCTCGTGAATTTCCACCTTGAAGACAGCGTTTGAAACCAGACCGATGAACAGGGTTCGACCGTCGGGCAGTTATCAGATTTCGATCCAATCAGATAAGCAGCTCGCTCGCTTGTTCGCACCCCGAAACCCTGTCCTGTTGTCTGAGCAGCAACTTTTCAATGGCGCATGCAAAGCAGTCCCGCCAGTTGATTCTCCTCGTCCATCTCCTTTGTGTACGGAACGTCTCGCGACCAATCATATCGCAAGGATGCCGACCGGTCACCGCCGAAGTAAAGTTGTGCATCACGCCTGCAGGGCCAAAAACCCCTAACGCAATCACAACAAATCGTTGCAGCTTTAATTACGTGTCATGCGAAGCCTGCGACGCCTGCAACCAAGCTTTTTCGGAGCAAGTTGCATTCCGTAGGGATCTGTACTCACGCGGGACTCTATGTAAGCACGTGAGAGCTGGTACTTTAGCTTCGTCCGGCTCCCCTCGACCCAATCACCTGATACCTGCCCTCGATCTTGTCCCAGGGACTCGTCATCATTGGCAGTCGACCACGTGCGAACTACGTCGCAAGGCTGCTGCATTCCCAACCACATTCCACAATGGTACAGTCTGGACAAGGGTGGCATCACTCGCTTGAGGTGAAATGTGCAATGGTTTTGGTTTGCGGCAGAAAACGCTTACTTTTGCTTGGGAAAGACTTGTTATCAAGATACAGGAAGATGAAAGGGAGTTTGCAGTCTAGACAAGGGGAACGGTTACAATGGTGGCTGAGTAGGCGGGCAGAGTCATCGTCAATACCCCGTCAGCTCCGAGTGAGGCTCCCTCAGGCAGACCGGATGCATACACTTGCGGGGTCACAGACTCCGGGTTGTTCAGCGTATTGGCCTGCTGAGCATCGCTGCCTTTGACCTGCCAGCTCTTTGCGCCAACGGTCGAGACTTTCTTTCCGTCGCCCACCTGCACCTTAATCTGTTTTGCACTGCCGTTGACGTTGACTAGCTTGGCAACCAAGTTGCCTTGGGCGTTGGAGCCGAACGAATGGTGAATCTTGGACGTATTGGTTGGCTTCGACAGCTTGGCATCGTGGATCTGCGCGATTCGGTTGTTTCCCCAGCCGTACTGGATCCAGTAGGAGGTCGACTTAACCATCTGACCAGGATTGAAGCTCAAAAGGTCAGGGGTCCATTGTGTCAGATTCTTGCCCTCGTTGTGGAAGATGGGAGCGTAAGCGGCACCGTAGTACACGTCGCCGTTTCGTTCAGCAGCAGCAAGGAAAGCGGCTTCGGCAAGGGCACCAACGAGGGTCGGGTGCTTCAAGCGGCCGGGTCCTCCGTAGATGTCGGTGTCGTTGGTGAGACCAGAGTTGATCACGGCGAATTCCAGCTCCCACCTCGTGACGTTCCGCGGAGTGGCATCGAGAGTCTCGGCAAACTCGATCATCTTGTCGGGCGTTGCGTAGATGTGATCGTCGACAGCCTTGGCTCCCTTGACACCTCCCAGAAGTGTCGAGGCGATGAGATTCAGTTGGGGGAATTCCTTCGCGATGGCGTCGCGGAATGCACCCCATCGGTACGCTCCGTACGTGTTGACAGCAGGGCCGAGCCAGTCCTCATTGCCGATCTCGATGTTTGTAAACTTGTAAGGCTGCTCGCGACCATACGATCTGCGCAAGTCGGCCCAGCGTCCCGAAGTGTCGAGGAGGAAGTGAAGCTCGTTGAGCGCCGACTGGATGTAAGGACCTAGCTTGCTCTTCGGAATAGCTTCACCCATCAGATTCGGAAGCAGGGAGTAGCCCGCATAGACTCCAAGGATTGCTTCAGATCCCCACCGCTCAGTCAGGTCCATGAGCTCCATGAGGCCGAGACCTTCCGTGTTCCAGCTCGTGGTCCAAGTAGGGTTTCGTCCAGGTCGGCTCTTGAGATCACCAACGGCATTGGTCCAGTTGAAAAAGGCAGCGAGGTGGTTGCCTTCAAGGTCATTGCCTCCCGGAAGGCGCACAAAGGCCGGCTTGATGTCGGCGAGCGCCTGAGCGAGGTCCTGTCGAGCCACTGTTCCCTCCCACGTGGGAGGCATGAGCGACACGAGATTGACTTGGAATCCATCCTGACAAGCGCCAGTGGTTTTGATGGCAAAGACGTTGTTATTGTCGGTGGACGCTTGCGAAGGGGTAAGGGTGGTCTGGAACTGTTGCCATTCGCCCGTGAGCTCAAGAGTCATGGACTGCTTGCCGAATGTCTTGGCATAGTCGCTCGAGTAGAGGCCGAACTCGACTGGTACGGTGGAGGATCTGCCCGTCGGCGATCGAGCGTAGAAGCTGAGCTTGTGAGGCTCTGTGGTGACGCTGATACCTTCGTATCCGGCATTTGCGATACCACAGGTTTGACCCTTGTCTCCGTGCACGATAGCAGATTGTGGAAGCGCAGGCGATAGCGAATTAGCTTTTGAGAGCGAGAGGTTGGTGGACTTGCTGGTGCCGGTCCAGTGAAGGAGGGTTCCCTGACCGAGCTCGTTGTTGACGTTGAGGGTGCTATTCTTGTTGTCCTGGAAGGCACGATTGCGGATGATTTCGGCGTACAGACCTCCATCGGTACCAGAGTTGATGTTGGTCTCGATGAAAGCAGAGATTGCAAACTTGGACTGCCTCGAAGGCTTGCCTGCGACGTGGTAAGTGACGGCCGAGGCAGAGCCAGCAGCGTCAACAGGAGACGAGCTGGCAGGAGCAGCAGTGATAGACGAAATCGAGCAAGCAGCCATGGCGAGGGCCACGCTCACCCAGGACAAGCTGAGAGTCTTCATATTTGCTTAACCAGAGAGGCGAAAGAGCGAGGCGAAGGGAGGAAATGCTTGCAAATAGAGGGCAAGAGCATTTGGCAAACGGACTGTTGTAGTCTTCTTATACGCATTCTGACATGGTGTTCAGGCAAGGTGCCGACTGCAGCAGGCCATTAGAGAGGAGACTCGACTCTGATGCTCAGAATTCAGACTGCGAAGCGCGCAAGACAGACGGAAAGCATGTGCTCGAGGCGGTAGGGTGCGAGTTGCCATTGCGGGGTAGACGGCGGTTGTGCGGTGCATGATGCGGCCTCAGACTGACAGCGGAGTCTTGGCGTAAATGTAGTGCACTGTTCAGCTGCCTGCGGTCCCAGCATGGAGGGCTTCCACACGACTGATGCGACTTCAATGTGCGTGTACACGGCGGTGGCGAAGCGAAAAGAAGGATGACCGAAACGAACGTTTGTGCACAAAGTTACTGACCAGCCAGACCCTGGCCATCCCCTTGTTATGATAGGAAAAGCCGAGGAATCATGTGTTCGCGTTCTCGGAAAACTTGTTTCTCATAATCTCAAGCATCGTGGATGGTGGGCACTAAGTCGGACAGAATGACGACCGGCGACTGACAAGAGGAAGGAAGAAAGCCGATGCAGGCGTGGACCAGGGATGAGGGTGCAAGCGAGAGATCCGAGGCCGCACCATTTGCCGAGAGTGATCAAAGTGGGTGACGAGGTCAACACCTGCTTTGTTTTGTCGCGAATACGGAACCTGCATGATTGGAGGGCCGGAAGAACCTTCCAGAGAGCTCTTCAAGTTCGCCGGTCCATCTTCGCCTAACCTAACGGTCCCTCGCAACGCCGAAGCTGCATATTCTGCTTCGCACACAAACAGAGTTGCAGCACACACTTTTGACAGCTGTGGCCTGCTGATGAAAGCAACAGGAGAGCGAAAGAAAAGGGTGTTTTGAGATCACGAGCCATCGGCGGACGGTGCCGAAGAGAGCGGTAGAAGCGTGCGAGGCTGCTTCGAATTGCAAAACTCACCGTAGTATTCTCTGTGGGCTAGGCTGATGCGCCTCGGATGCATCGTGTGGGGCTCCTCACCCTCAGCATCGCATACATGTTTTACATAGCCGAGCTCCTTGGATTCACCGGCAACTCTGTGTTGAGACACGTCGGAGTTGTGCGAAGTTACGATTGTGTGCATTCCTGTATCCTTCCTCGATACGGGCGATCCAAAGGGGCAAGGTCGGACGTCGCTCCATTCTTATGCTAGAGGGAGCTTACAGTGAAGTATCGATTTCGAGCCCCGCAGCAGAAGATCAACAACGAGGCACGACGGCGAAGACCGAAGGGCGAACAAGGCAGCCTTCTGCTGCGTTACATGACGTTCAACATCATTGGTCGCCGGCTGCCCGTGCAAGAGCATTTGCTTTCGACGCACATAGTCTTCGACGTAACAATTCGAAAGAGTCACAAGTGCCAAAACTTATCTTGTTCGGAAGATGGCGGCCTCACAGTTGATCCCAAAAATAGCCTCCACCTGTCGAGACGCTCCAAAGGCCTCACGCTTGCACGCAACTCTGGGTCTCGGCAGACAAAGCAGTTCTTCCGGACCCTGAACTGACAACGGATTTGTTGCTTCACACCAGCACACTCTGGCTAGCTTCATCGCATCACCCCTTGGAGAGCGCCATACAAGGCCTCTCATTATGCCATCGACATGACTACGATATCGCCTCCGTCAATAGCGACAGGCGAGGAGGCCCTCGCGGCGTCCACGAAGGAACCAGAGCGGCAGGCTGTTGATCATCAACGTTTGATTACTGACGCCCAAGCTTCCTCGACCCACGCCCACGCCACGGCGGCGGTGCCTCCAAGACACGACTTTCATGATGCGACTGCGCTGCTCACGTCAGCATGTGACGCCCTTCGAAACGGCCAGATGGTTGCAGTGCCCAACTTTTCGCTGATGGACTCCATGGCTGCCGTCAAGATCATGGATGCAAGAATGGATTCGGGCATGGAGCTGCCTGCCTCGGAGTTGCCAGAATCGGATCGATTGGATACAGCAGATAGTCAGGTCAGCTTGGAGGACTTTGATCCTTTCAAGCCGCTCACAGTGCCCGACGTGCTGTGGATCATGGATCGTCTCCTAGCATGCGAAGCCGCGTGGCATCGCGGATCGGCGCTGTCCCAGACCCTCTATACATGCCTCTACTTTCACGCTATCAAGAGCCTTTCTCACAAGCATCCGCGTTTTCAGCCTTTGTCTGCTTTCAGAGACGGTACAGGGAAGATCCCTGCAGAAGCCAGCACATCAGCAGCAGCTTCAACGACGTCCGATCATCCCCCTTTGCAGCTCGTGTACAAGGTCCTGAGAGCCTTCCTCTTGGGCACAGTCAAAACCATTGACATCGCTTGGTCCGAGCTCGCTTCCAAGCAACATCTTCATGATGGCGAAGACTTTTCTTCAGACAAGAGTGGACTCAGCCTCCTCGAGACCACCGACACTGGATACATCGTCGCCGAGCTGGAGGACGCGCTGGAGTGGTTGCAGTCGCAGTCGGGCCGTTTGCCCCCTAGCCATGTGGACGCTCTCAGAGCGAGGCTTGGGTTTCGTAAGCAGATGCTGTACGCGGCTCGTCTACTGCAGAGTCCGGCCGAGGCTGCGCACTTGGACGTCGTGATGCATGCCAAGTTCGCCCGGCGCAGTTGGACCCTGCTGCTTCCCATGTCGGACACAGCGGATGCGAACGGCAACACGACGTCTGAGCGTGGAGCGTCGTCGCCGGGTAGCAGCAAAGAAGGTGCGTCACAAGTGATGCCGTTGCGGCCAGCGGACCGGATTGCAGCGCCTTCACCTGCATCTATCGCCGCCTTCGATCCGGCGTACAATCGCCGTCTGGCGTGGTGTCAGGCGCTCAGACCCATCTCACTGCCCACAGCCCACGACACTTGGCGTATTCTGGATGGTATCCTCGAAGAGCTTCAAGATGTGGTTCGCGTTCTACAGCATCCAGACTGGCTCAACTGGAAGTCCTTCTTCACACTTCGCGCCGTCCGCTTCCAGCAATCGCAACCACTCGCAGCGACGCCCTACGTGCGGTCCTTGTTTCAGACCGTCATTTGCGATCGAAGCATGATCGCCACTCGATTGCCCCTCGAATGGATCACTGAGGCCTTCTTTCAGGAGGTGGCTCTCGTCGACCCGCTGCTTCTTCGCCGTGCTTCGCGCATCGGCAGAAGCAACGTCGAGGGCGGAGCACAGACAATGTGGAACGCTCCGCCGCCACTTGGGCAGCGCTTCCACTACTTTACCCAAAGGGTAGCCGGCCAGCTGGTGCAGTATCTGACGGCGCTCTCGCAGAATCGCTCTCGCTGCAAGCGAGTCTTATCTTCGAAGCTCTACGGCGAATGGGTCCACATCTCCGAGGAAGCAGGCGACATTGGTCGTCAGCTGGAGGCAAACCTGTTACCGGGCGACCGTTATCTTCCCGACTCACTCTTTGCAGCTACTCAGCACCTTGCGCTCGAGATCATGACACAAATCACGCTCTCTGGATTCGAACTCGATCTTTATACCGTCGGCACGGATCGCGAGACAATGTGGTGGCTTGCCAGCCGCATCCAGGTCGAGCAGAGTATTGTGTGCTCCGACCTTCGAGTCGAACTTTCCAAGTTGCTCGAACGACTTTTGCCCGAACATCGACCACGCCGATATGCTCGCACGATCCTCTATCTTTCGCGCCAGATCCTTCTGGCACAAGCCCTGGAGCAGCTGGCTGTCAGCACCATCTTCTTGGTACAGCTCTCCGATCAAACCCGACGGACTCAGCAAGGAGCGGAACAGCTTTGGCAAGCGCTCTGTCCCGGACAAAGCGATTGCTCGGTAGAAATGGAAGCCGCCGTGTTCTCTACCAGGATCAAGTGGATGCGCTCGAATGTACGTCGACAGCTCGAGGACGACGAAGCTTCCATTGACAAGGATCCCGGCGAAACGCTGTGGCAAGAGTTCCTAGACTTCAGAGCGGAGCTGCAGGCCACTGATGAAGACACCTTGGCCGCAGTTGCAGGCGACAGATTGGATCAGGCTATCGCACACCTACAGCAGCTTTCAGAGTCGTTGTCCGACGAACATCAATATGAGCTTGGAGCCGTAGCTTTCAGCGGAATGGTCGCTATACTTTTGGCAACAGCACGCCACAACAGAAAGTCGCTGGCTACAACACTATCAGCTGGACACGATCCAAAGCAACGCGAACGCGGGGCCCAGCACGAATGGATCTTCGAGCACCCCTGGATACCCAAGTGGACTCCACCTGAACGCAAATCAGCATAACAGTTCAAATATCAGCATTGCCATCGATATCATTGTTTCATCGTTGTCGTCACAATATACCACTGAATAGAAGCCACTACTCCTAAGACGCTTTTGCTTGTACAAGCGCACAGATGAGAATCGGCATGCATCTCACCTCGAGCAAAGCGAAAGACGGAGGCAAAGCGATTCAAACACCCGATCCGAACCCCGAGATCCGGTCTCACTCCACATTTTTTTTTTTTTGGAAACGTTGAAATGCCCGCTATTTCAATTTTGTGGATCTTCTTGCCAGTCGGCAAAGAGTTCCAGCTAAGGAAGAGCATCTTTTGTTTGTTGTTCTTCGTAGGTAGGCTGCGCAAACAGCGAGACACAGTCCGGTCAGAGGCTCAGTTCGAATCTTGCTTCGGAGCACCATCACGATTTCGAACAACCCACGACATTACGCCGTCAGGACCCGTACCTCCCTCACCGTCGGCAGCGACAAGGAGTTGTTCTTTCGCCACGGCACAGCCTCCCGTTCCAGCATACGATGCTGCGTGTAGCGAACGGTGCTTCGACGCACGTAGCGTCGGTGCTTCAACGGAATCTTGGACGCCCTAGTGCTCAGAGCAGCGTGCTGCGGAGAGGCAAAGGTTGTATTGTCACCGCCACTGCAAGCTTCAACACTTCGCCGAGCTCTCGTGTTTCGTCCGCATCATTACTTCTAGCGTGGACGATTCGTTCCGAACCTGTAGCAAAGACACAGCAGCTCCATGACCTTCCATTTACATCGAGGCCGAGACGGCAGTCTTACACCACCGTCCCACCACGAACAGCAAAGACGTCAAGCGATGAGCTGCAAGCAGTTTCCTCTGTAGCTGAACTTTCAGATCAGCTCAAGCCACCCATGACAAGTCTTGAAGGTGTTCAAGAAAAGTTCCGTCGTTTAGGATTGAATGCCAACATCAGTCGTCAGATCACACTTACGCATCCCAACATCCGACAACCCACACAAGCACAGTCAGCGCTAATACCCGCCATCCTATTACCCACAGATGTCATTCTGCGCGCCCACACTGGCACTGGAAAGTCCTTCGGTATTCTCTTGGCGCTGCTCAGCAAACCTCGCATCGTCTTTCGAGACTCGACAACTTCGGATCCTTCTGTGCCGTCGCAGGGAAAGCGAAGCAAACCGCAGACCGGCATTGCCTCCATCATTCTGGTGCCGAGTAACGAGCTAGCTCTGCAATACATGCGCTGGGCTCGGTCGTTATTTCCCACGTCCAGCCTGCCGTCCTTGGATCCGGTTATTCAATGCTTGGTCCGCGGAGGTTTCACCGGCACAGATGCGCCGACCGCAGAAGAGGAGATGAAGCGACTCAAAGCCAAGCCTCCGCATATCTTGATTGGCACACCGACGCGTATCAAGGACATTCTCGACACACCTGCTGGATCCTCACTGCTCGGCCTCGACACGCTCAAGACGCTCGTGCTCGATGAAGCGGATGCTGTACTGCAGCTTCCAGGAAGATTCCCCTCCCACAAACAGCGATGGAAACATGAGGTGCACAAGGCACCTGGTCTTCTGATTCTCAACGAAATCATGAAGAGACGCGCAACCTTTTCAGGCGGCGAGAAGCACCTCTCTGCTGGCCTTGAAAACCGACCAGGCAAAAGGCGCGACGAAAGAAGGCCTCCAGAACACGTCCGTCGAAACAGCTACAAGGCGGCTGAGCGATCCTCTGCCAGCAGCATCGATCCGCACACAGGCCTGACGCTCGCCAAATCTCGCAGCTCAGGTGTGCAGCCTCTGCAGCTCATCGCAACGAGCGCAACGGCCAACTCGGTGATGCGTCACTTTTTTGCAGCCAGAACGGGCTGGCTGCGTCCAGGAGCCAAGGACAATGGAATGTCATTCGCACCCCAGACAGGGCGCTGGATCGACCTCACTGGACTGAGCGGCCAAAGCATGGTGGATCAAGGCATTCGAGGGCTGTTCGGAGCCAATGAGCGAGCACGTACCGATGCGTTGATCCAGACGTCGCTCGAGCAGACGCCATCGACGATGCCTGGGACGATCCAGCACACGTGTATCGTTGTTGACGAGGCACCCTTGTCCAAACAGCTTTCCGCGATACCGTTGCGCAACTTTGACCCGAAGCTAGCGAGAAGGAGGGACGGCAGCTCGATCAGTGGAGGTCCTGCCTCGGCATCTTTGGCTGAAGCCGATGCTGGCGTTGCTGCTGGAGATGATTTCATAGTGATCAGGCCCGAGGACGAACCGCAAGAGCACGAGATGGATCGGACCCTGATCGAGGCTCTGGCATTTTGCTTCGCTTCAGAGGGTGTCAATCGCGGTCTTGCCTTGATTCCTGCTCGATGGAGCTTGTTGAAGACGCGCGCCGCGCTCGAAGCCCTCGGTGTGACGGTGCGGCTGGCCTCCGACGTAACCTCTCCTCCCTCCCCTAGCTCAGCTGCAGGCGCAACGTCAGCGCCGGCAAGTGAGAAAGAGGCGACCAAATCAGCGTCCGCATCGGCAGGTCCCGAACTCTTTTTGCTGCAGACTACGTCTTCCCGTGGTCTCGACATTCCTTCGCTCTCACACGTCTTTTTGGTCGGATACGCTTCCGTGATCGACGCGGTGCAGTATGTCCACTCTGCTGGACGTGTCGCCCGGATCGGAGGCGATCCTGATACGCCCGCGACGGGCACGGTGGTCACGCTGCTGCGCGGTCTTCCTCATCACACGCCCATCCCATCCGAGATGCAGAGCCGGGCTGGTACGGATAAGCTTAAAAAGGCAATCTCGACGTCGGAGGCAAAGATGGCAAATGTGTATCGTCGACTCGGAGTTGTGCCGAAGAAGCTCGATTTGGGTCTGCTCACGTCGAGAGCAACCGCTGCCGGGGCAGATCAACCGCCATCGGAGAAGCACGAACCCGTATTTTCAGCTGAGAAGGCTGACACCGAAAAGCTCAAGCCCGACCAACAGACGGGCGGGACCGCATGAACATCACATCCGTCAGCTCCCAACACTACTGGCGAGTTCCTGACTTCATTTTGTATTTCTAGATATACCGCAGACAACTCTTCGATTGATCACACCTCCATGACAGAATGCGTTGTATGAACAAATGTCTATGTCGGCAAAGCGAGAGAATCGATGAGGGACATTCATTCCGCACGCTATGATCGATAGAATGGACTTGGAATGCGCATCGAAGCTGTCTAGGTAAGGAACGACTCTCCACAGCCGCAAGCCTCTTTGACGTTGGGGTTGTTGAATACGAACTTAGCGCTGAGTCGATCTTCCTGCCAGTCCATCTCGCTGCCAATGATGCTGAAGAGCGCCTTGCTGTCAATGAGGACCTCGACGCCGTCCTGCTTTACCCTCTCGTCGAATCGACCTGCCTCCTCGGGCTTGATGTATTCGAGATGGTACGACATGCCCGCGCAGCCTTTGTTGCGCACGCCGACGCGAATAAGCTTGGGACCAGAGTCGGATTCCATGAGCCCACGAAGACGCAGAACGGCGGTAGGCGTGAGCTTGAGTGCGGCCGTGCGCGAACGGAATTTGGTGCCCCGGTCTGACGGCGCCTTCTTCGCTGCGGCAGGTGCTGATGAGGCGGCCTCGAGCATAGTGGCGGCTACCTTGGGATCTTTGGCAAGCTCGGCGGCTTCCGAAGGGCTGAGTTTAGACGATGGTGCCGGGTCCGAGGCGCTCGGCGCAGGCGTGGCGGGTGACGGAGCTGGAGCAGGTTGCGATGATACGGAGATATCTGCGACTCGCGGATCCTTCTGCGACTTGGGGGACGCTGGCGAAGATGGCGACAAAGTGGCACATGCGGGATCGACACTGGCAGTTTCGGCCGCGTCGAGACGAGATGCTTCGCTGGCAGCGTGGTGAGAGGATGATGAGGGAACAAATGCTGCGGAAGAGGCGGATGATGATGTCGAGGCGGAGGGTTGCGGAGCAGTCTGGGATTGTGTCTTGGAAGAAGATGCTGGAGAAAGACGCCGTGACGATGTCGAAATATACCTCGCGCCGGCGGCCATTGATATGCTACGAGTCACCTGGCGCGAGGATGATGCCCGCAGAGACGTCTTTGTGATACCGGACGTAGCTTTTTGTGCTACTGTGCGGCTAGCGAGCATGGAGGCGCTACATCTCGAGGCGGCCGGATACAAAAAGGGAAGCATCGCAGCCCTAGTAGCCGCCGGTAAAGATGATGCTGTGAATGGCACCGACATGCTGTACCGTGTAGCACGTGGTGGCGGGGTGAAGAGCACGAACAGGTACGTGTGGCCCAGATGATACGAAGCAGCGACGTGATGTTTGCTGTCGAGAGTGAGGACGATGGTGGTGGCAAGGACAGTTGTTCGTTCCCGAAACTTGCACACATCAAGAGCTGGCTCGGCTGGATGAAAAATGTGAAATGACGCCGATCCTTGAATGCTTAACGGAAGGCACAGCGTGTGTCGGTGGCTGGATGTGTCGGAACAACTCGCTTTTCTCCGCGCTCCACCCAGCAGAGCGTGCTGAGTTGACATTCTGTAAATCCGAAGCGCCTGCTCGAGGCTGAAATTGACTCCACTCTGACTCTTGTTACATTTGCAAGCTCTGCCATTGGCTACTTGGCGTTCCGGCTGGTCCGTTTGCCTTTTCGGCCTCAGTCCGCGACTTGATGATTCTCAGAATCGGTCTCATCTGCTCAGTCACTTGCTGCCAATCAGGTTCCGAAGGTAGTCGCTGCCTAGTGAAGCTGAGATCCTGTATTGAATGTGGCGAGTGACGTCAATCTCAAGATCGGGAAAGAACGAAAACGATCTAGGCCGATAAGCCGCCCACTTAAAATATTTGTTCGATGACCGTGTTACGCCGAAGCCGCTCACCTTTTGGTTTGTCCAAAGTAAATGGTGATCGAGCCGGCGCCTGTTGCCAAGGTGGCGCGTCGACTCTGAAAGTGGAGCAACAACGCTCGAGTGCACACCGCCTCAGCAATTCAACCCTCGCTCCTTCAGCACTGCTCTCCACCACCGTACGTACTTCTACCACATCATACCAGCTTCCTTTGTCGAAAATCGTATCTTTGCTCACGGACAGCAGACGAGATCAGCTCTCCTCGCCCGCTTGCTCCACTGCCAGCGAAGCAAAGCATTCTGCTTCAACCGATACTCTTTAACATTTAGCCCTGTCCAGGCGACGTTAGATAAGCAACACCGGCCTCTTCACCATGTCGGCAGCGGTGACAACACACACCGCCGAGTCGGCGACTGGCCATGCTGCGTCGCTCGCCAACATTGGCGGTGCAGCAGCTTCGGCGAACGCCCTCGGCATTCAGTCTTTCTATCAGTCCAAGATCCGATCCTACGAGATCCTCATCAACCAAAAGACACAGAACCTTCGTCGTCTTGAAGCTCAAAGAAACGCGCTCAACGCTCGCGTCCGCCTTCTACGCGAAGAGCTCCAGCTACTTCAAGAGCCAGGCTCCTACGTTGGCGAGGTGGTCAAGGTGATGGGCAAGAAGAAGGTGTTGGTCAAGGTGCAGCCAGAGGGCAAGTATGTCGTCGATATTGCCTCGGACATCGACATCTCCACCCTCACACCTACCCTCCGTGTCGCGCTTCGATCTGACTCGTACACACTACACAAGGTGCTGCCCAACAAGATCGACCCCCTTGTCTCGCTCATGATGGTTGAAAAGGTGCCCGACTCGACATACGAGATGGTTGGCGGTCTTGACCGTCAGATCAAGGAGATCAAAGAAGTCATCGAACTACCCGTCAAGCATCCCGAACTTTTCGAATCTCTCGGTATCGCTCAGCCCAAAGGTGTGCTGCTCTATGGTCCACCTGGTACCGGAAAGACGCTGCTTGCACGAGCCGTCGCTCACCACACCGACTGCCGCTTCATCCGCGTTTCGGGTTCCGAACTCGTGCAAAAGTACATCGGTGAAGGCTCGCGCATGGTCCGAGAGCTCTTCGTGATGGCAAGAGAGCACGCACCTTCTATCATCTTCATGGACGAGATCGACAGCATCGGATCGTCACGAGGCGAGAGCGGATCGGGAGGCGGTGATTCTGAGGTGCAACGAACCATGCTCGAGCTGCTCAATCAGCTCGACGGCTTCGAAGGCACCAAGAACATCAAGGTAATCATGGCCACCAACCGTATCGATATCCTCGACTCGGCTCTTTTGCGACCGGGAAGGATCGACCGTAAGATCGAGTTCCCTCCTCCGGGCCCCGAGGCTCGTGTCTCGATTCTGCGCATCCACAGCCGAAAGATGTCCTTGCAACGCGGCATCAACCTGCGTGCCCTTGCCGAAAAGATGGGTCAATGTTCCGGTGCCGAGGTGCGAGGTATCTGCACCGAAGCTGGCATGTACGCCTTGAGGGAGCGTCGCCAGCACGTCTCGCACGAAGATTTCGAGCTCGCCATCGCAAAGGTTCTCCGTGCACAAGCCTCTTCCGAGACCTCGGTCAACAAGCTTTTCACCTGATTCTCATCACCGTCACCTCCTCCGTCTGTCTTGCCTTTTCTGTCCACGCACTATGTATCAACAGCACCCCACAGTCAATCCCACACGATCACGCATCCTGTCATCACTCCAGGCCGATGGCTGTTGTTCGAACTGTTCTTTTGTGTTTATTGCTGTCACAGAGCAGCTATTTCCGATCACTCTCCGAGCTGTTCGGAAAGAAGGGTGTCCCAACACGCGATCTCGCTTTCGACAATGTCGCGTCCATTGTCATCAACAAGGAGAGTGATCGGAAAGAAGGGTGTCCCAACACGCGATCTCGCTTTCGACAATGTCGCGTCCATTGTCATCAACAATGTCGTCGACGAATGATTTGACGCTTTGCGTGTAAAGCCAATGCGCCAGTTCGATCGAAGCAGCATCATTGGAGGAACCGACTTGTACAGGTCTCTTTCGCAGATGTCGAATGTGCAGCACCAGGCTGTCCAGCTCCACTTGGCTTTCGTTGACCGCTTTTCTGTCTGCTGCGCCCAAAACGTTGTTCCGAACTAGCAGGGCGCGAAGTAGATGCAGCGTGGCCTCCGATTCGAGCGAGAGGCTTTCCCATCCTCCAGAGGGTGGGATGATCACTGATTTAGGTGCTTGAGCAGGAGCTATTCGCAGCAACCATCCAAGCCCGATCTCGGTCACAGCCTTGCGCGCATATAGACGAGCATTGTCTAAGAGTTTGGTTCGCGTTCCTCTGGCGCCCGCGATACCAGCCGCTTCGAAAGCAGGATGAGAGCGGAAGATGGACATGCTGGCTAGCGCAAGCAAGATGCGACAGCGCGCTCGGGACGTCGGCGTCGAAGTGTTGGCTTGGCCAAGCACCGCTGCTGAGCCTCCGCCTGCCGCGGAAGTGTCGAGGGCAGCCAATGCTTGAGAAAAGAGCTTGGTGCTCGATGTGGCAAGCGACCAAACTGCTGCGGCCCCTCCTCCCGTGGGCTTCAACCGCAGCGAAGCTCTGCATATGTTTTGACCTGCCTCGCCGACATCGCAAAGCTCGGCAACTTTGGCGTCTCTGCGACCTGATACTATCTCAGCGGAAGTCGGCGTAGCGATCAGTCGAGCTGCCCAGTCGTTGACCGTTTGCATGAGCGCTTCCACTTCCGCACTGATGTGTGCTACGTCTGAAGCCAGCACGATTGCTTTGCAAACAACTGCCACTCGTAATGTCAGGGAAGATCTTTGCATCTCACCCCAGATCGCTGCTTCTTCTGAAGATGCTTGAGCAGCGTCGTTGGTTGTGGCCGGCAAAGCACCTGTTAATTGGAACTCGGAAGCCAACGCTTCTGCTTTTGAGTAGATCTGCTGGGCTGCAGAGTTGAGCATCTGAACACCGTCCAAGGTCGCAGAGGCATCTATCAACGAGGTGTAGCATGCCATCATCGATAAAAACGTCTCCATAAGCGATGCAGGAGTGACTAACGAGGACGTGTAGCCATACACGGCATCTTCTCCGGTCGACTCTCGCAGATCTTCTTCATCCTCCTCTATGCCTGTCGAGGGTGTCGCAGCCGAAGGTGCCTCCTCATCTGATGCAGCTGCATCGGTCCTTTGATCTTGCAAGATAGTGTACTGCCCATCTGCGACCTGTTGGAAGACTTTCAGCGCCTCGCTCCATAAAAGTGATGGAGAAGGGGCACTTCGCGTCCCCTGTGTGGACAAGGAGGGGGCGTGAAGCCCTGACGGCCAGCCGAGCTCCTCTACGACTTCGGCAAGCGTCTGCAAGCACGTAGCCAGATGTGTCATTGCATCAAGAGCGAAAGGATTCGGGAGACCAACCTCGGCTGATCCTGCATTGGAGACAGGAGCCGCAAGCTGCACTGCCTGCTGCGCGCTTTCGACCGCCTCGACGAAAGACTGCATGTTCTCCGGTGGCAGTGCAAACTGCGAAGCGAGCAGAAAGTGGATCCGTGACGCATTGTACACCGCGTCTGCGCGTCGTTCTACATTGGCGCCAGCAAGCTGAGCTGCCCGTGTGTAGAGCGTGCCGGCTTGAACGTAAAAGCGTTGCGCCTTTGGTCCGAACTGGAATCGTTCTCCCTTTTCTTCGAGTTCAACGCCGTCCTGCATCGACTCGTCGAAATCGTGATAAGTACTGGGGTCTACTGGACCGAATGGGTTCGAACTCCTGCTGCGGCTTGACGAGGCCGACGATCCATTCGACGCCGATGCCGATAGGCTCGTCACCTTGGGCATGCGCTTTGGCGCCATCTTGTAAGTAAGGCCGGCCGAAAGCGAGAACGTGCCGTTGTCAGAGCCGGAGGTGAATGATCAGAAGAAACCGCTCCCAACATTTCCAGGCGGAGCTAGCTAATTCGGATCTCGGAATATTTTTGTCAAACAAATCGTGGCCGTACCTGACGTGCCCGGCTACATCGAGGGTACCTTCATGGTCATCAAGCCGATGCGGCTCATCTTGCAATCCAGGAACCAAATGCGGTAGGGTTAGGGTTAGGGTTAGGGTTAGGGTTAGGGTTAGGGTTAGGGTTAGGGTTAGG